GAGCTACCTCTGCCTCTACCCTCGGGCCTCGTAGCCAAGAAACTCGGCGCTGATCGCTTCGTTCCCATGCAAATCGTGTCTTGGTCCATCCTGTCGGGCGCGCAAGTCTGGATCACGAAAAGAGCGCACTTCTACGTCATCAAGGCGCTTATGGGCGTTGCCATGGGTGGCTTCATTCCCGAAATTGTTCTGTGGTTGACGTACTTTTACAAGTCCAACGAATTGCCTCTCCGCTTGGCGTTCTTCTGGACTGCTTTGTCGACCGTCAACATTGCCGGTTCCCTCATGGCCGCTGGGATTTTGCAGATGCGGGGAATCCGAGGCTGGAGTGGCTGGCAGTGGCTGTTCCTGATCGAGGCCCTGATGTCTCTGGTCGTCGGCATCTTCGCATTCGTCCTGATGCCCCCGGGTCCTTGCCAGACCAAATCCTGGTTCCGCGGAAAGGACGGCTGGTTCTCCGAGCGCGAGGAATTCATCTTGGTCAACCGCCTGCTGCGCGATGATCCCTCCAAGGGCGACATGAACAACCGCGAGGGTGTCTCGGCCAAGGGTCTGCTCAAGGCCATCAAGGAGTGGGAGATGTGGCCGCTCTACATCGTCGGCGTGTGCGCTTACATCCCTCCCGGTCCGCCCGGCGAGTACCTGAGTCTGATCCTTCGCACCCACGGCTTCAGCGTCTTTCAAGCCAACCTGCTCACCATCCCCGCTTACTTTCTCTTCGCCTGCAACTTGGTCATCCTTTCGTATTTCTCCAGGCGGTTCAAGGAGCGTGGCTTTATCGCCTCCCTTTCGCAGTGGTGGATGCTTTCCTTCTTCGCTGCTATCGTCGCCCTGCCCGACGCCGGCGTCTGGGTCCGCTATGCTCTTCTAATCGGTATCTTGTCGTACCCGTACTGCCACGCCATCCTGGTCGCTTGGACTGCTGAGAACAGCAACAGCGTGCAGACGAGAGCGGTTTCGACGGCGCTGTACATTATGTTTGTGCAGGATGGCAATATTATCTACGATAATATCTACCGCGAGGACGACAAGCCGCTGTACAAGAGGGGGAATAAGGTATTGCTGGCCATGGTCTGCTTGAATATCGTGCTGTTTTATCTGACCAAGGCGTTTTATGTGTGGAGAAATAAGGCGAAGGAGGAGAAGTGGAAGGCCATGACTTCGGAGGAGCAGCGGGACTATGTGTTGACTACCCTGGATGAGGGGCCGAAGAGGCTGGATTTTAGGTTTGCACACTGATGTTGTTTTGTTGCTGTCGAAGGAGGAAGGACAGGAAGATGCTGATTTAACGGGACAGCGTTGTATACCCAAATGATAATGATAGAGGTAATGATAATAATAATGATACCCATGATTTGACAAAGGGCAAGGTAGACAGTGTAGAGGTGGAGATGAGAGTGCTAGAGATGTAATGAATAAATGTTACAAAGATCCTTTCATGACAGCAGACCCTAAATGCCCGGATAATTGAAAGCGTCGACCGGAATACCTCTATCATCAATGATTGTGCGCACTGGCGCTTATGTCCTCTTCCAGTTCACCAAACAAAGCCTCGAATTTCAGAATTTCTCGCCGCTGGGCAGATGTGATGATGTCGTCCCCTTCCACACTCTATCTGGCATATATTCTAAGCGGCCATTCGATGTATGTCTGCAATCTCCCGGGTGTTTAGTCCAATGAACCGGGCCCTAGAGTCTAACAACGCGACCCTTACATCGCTCGAGCAGGGCCGAGAAGGGTCAAACAGGGAATAGGTAGGCATGAGCTGCACGGAGGGAGGCAGTCAGTTTGAGCAAGATGCCTTTCCAAAACCCTCGAATTCTCGAGAGCGGACACGGCATTGACGGAGACGGGAACAGTTTCAGTGGAAGAAGGGTGGACGGGTCATGCGAAAGGGTTCGAGAAAAATGTTCAGTCCGATGGATGCTCCCTTCTATAGAGGTAGTATGGTAGATGATGAACAGTTCGAATTGAATCAACTATGCGCCTTGGCGTTCGTCATGATGGGCATCGTTGTCTCATTGTTGATTTGGGGAAGCAAGGGAAATTGGGGAGTTGGGAAGTTCGGGAGATGTATTGTACCTTATATGTATGTTTTGGGTATAAGAGAAGATTCGCGGAGTTGTTAGAGGTAATTCTGCGAGAAGCTGTTGTGGTTTTCATGTTGTGGAAGGGGGTAGGAGAGGACTGGAAGAATTGAGGGACTGGACAGGTCCAGGACTGGATCGAGTGGGGAACTTTATACATGCCCGCATTCTGTTCCGTTCCATCAACACGAAGCTGAACGATGGTGACAAGAACATGGCTTGAACCTAGGACTACGGCCTTGTCGTATGATGGGTATGATTCATGGTATGTAAATAGATGGGTGATGAGCCGAGACGTGATGGTGATAACCTCAAACCTCCATGCTGTGTGTCCGGCGGCCAGCACGGTGGTGGTTGAATTTGGCGGTTTCCTTGGTCAGAAACTGGAATACTTTTGTTGTTGTTTGTTTGTTTCCTTGTGGAAGCTGCTTGAATGGAGCCTTTGTCGCTTGATTGTACCAAAACTGTTGATTTGTTCAGGAAATCGTCCATCCCGAAAGGGAGTATCGTGTCCTTCGTGTTCGGTGTTGAGGAAAAGAGAGGCCTTCTTGTGATAGGCTGCAACTTGATAGCCCCTGTGATCCCAGCATTCACTCCATCCTCGGCTGTTGAATGCAACAGAGAGAGAGCAGACCATATTGAGTAAGCAAATGGGGACAATGTTGAAGCTGACTAACGGAAAAGGATGACACAATTGCACGGGGTTGTTCCAGGCAGCTGTTGAATGGGTTGGGTTGTTGGGTTGGGGACGCTGAGGTGCCAGGGCCTCTCACGTCACGTGCCTCTGACAGCTGAGTGACAGGATGGCCCGTGCTCAACTACCCCTACATAGAGGTACCAAGCTTTTTCCCAGGATCGACCGCGAGCGGCAGACATGACTGCCGGTGGCATTGTGCTTCCATTCCATTTAACATTCTTGGGGGACACTATGTTGCCCTTGCATTTCATTGTTTTCATTCTCACCTATGCTAGGAACCGATTGCGGGGGCATATGTGAGTGCCAGAGGCACAGGCAGTTGCAGATAGATTGCCATGACAATCCCCTCAATTTCAATCGCCGGTTTGATAGTCATGGACCACCGTGGCTGATGCTCCATAGGGGGGGACTCTCCCTCGCAGGGAACTGGCTGCTTGGGATGCGAGGGCGGCAGAGACTCTTCTCATCCACGATCACTCTCAGCCGTTCACCAGTCGCAAACCCGAAGCAACCGAACACGGCACAGAGAGAGAGACATGACCTCAGCAACTTGCCGACACATACCAACACCAACAGCAAGACAATGAGTGAGATTGGATTGGCACCCCTTCGAAAACGGTGACACGAAACCAAGAAACCGTCCAATCATCCCCCCCTCCAGTGCCCCAAAAACACAGCCGCCATGCTCTTGGTATTTATTGGTGGCGCCATGTCGTCTTCAGCCTCAGCACACTAGGTCCTCGGTACAAGATTACCACTTGTTTTTCCATGGGGTCATCCCCACCGTCATGATTTGGATGCACCAACCAAGTGGTGTGCCTGGTCGACTGCAACTGGACAAGCTTTACTGCAGCAAAACTTCCCTGTCGACATTAGAATCCTTGCAGGCCCTACAAGGTTCGACAAAGTGGAAACTGGCAACTGTCCCTCACTCATCGTCATTGCAGTGGTTCCATTACAGATCGCCCAGGTCCCCTTTTTTTTTTCTTGGTCTTTCGTATGCGCGGATTTTCCTCCGGGGTCAATGAAGTGTGGTAGGATTTGCCCCATGCTTGCATAGGTGCTTATCTCAATTCCCTCAATTCCCCTGACCAATCTGTTTTCGGTCCTGTAAAGAACAGGGTGTGGAGGGCAGTGCACCACCATCTGTCCGCGTAGAGGAGGATTGTAGTCTACACCACCTCGTATCAAGGGAGCTTCCAGTCCCGGAGCCAGGGAAGCCATCCAACAAAAAAGCATGGGTTGTACCTCTTTAAGGTAAACTCATACCTTGGAGGCTGCCTGAAAATTCCCCATCGGAATTGGGATAGACCTGGATGGAAGGACTATCGAATGCCTTACACTACATCGCGACGGAATCGTCCCCTCCCCAGCGGGACTTGAATCTGCAAGTGGATGTCTCAGGAGGTCACTCAACTGCCATTTCCAGTTCCAGTTCCAGCCTCATCATCTCCTCTTTTCCTGTTCGCGGTGGCTTTCAATCCCAGTTCCCACGGCCCTTGTCTGAAAAAGGGAGATGGGGGGCGGGTTCAATCGTGCTGCATACCTACCTTCCCGTCATACAAAGAGCAGTTTATGTAGTTGGTATTGCCCTCCTCCACAGTTTACCTCGACATATGTGCTTCTCTTTTCTGCCTCTTCCTTGGAACTTTGATGCTTCCCATCTCCTTGACGTCTTGATTTCCATCCAAGATCCCGATCCGACCAAGTTCAGACGCAAAAAAAAAGGGGTCCACTCTCCACTTTCACTTACACGAGACGACAGCGGGGACCATCGATCAACTCCACGCGATATACTGGGATCATCCGCGTATCGACAGCCCCGATTTCAGGATTCTTGGCCGCTCCGGGGTAACCGGGTTTTCGAAACAACAGGCCTTGTCCAAGAATACCTTTTTTGCAGTTTCTTTCATACCTACCTTACCTCTACCTACTACTTTTGAATCACTTCACTTGCTTCATCCAGCGTACACCTTAACGGCTCAGTGGCGATTCTGACATCTGCCCTCGACCACTTCCTCGGCACGCACCGACGATCATGCAGATAATATAATTGACGCCATTCCCTTTTCCGCTCTAGTTCTCGCCCTCGCTCCCGACTTCCCCATTAGTTTCATCAACCGCTGAGGTCCCAAGCAAAGGCGGTTGTCTAGGTAATCTACCTACATTCGGAGCATATCCGAATAGTGCAGGTCGCCCCCCGTTCCAACAACATCATGTTGCTGGGCGAGCAGACCGGGACGGCGGGTCACTTCTCGACCATCTCGTCGTCCTTTTCAGCACTCATCGCCCACTGGCGTTCCTACCGACATATCCACCGCATCGCCCTAGTCATCTTTGTACTTTTAACCATCTTTGTGCTGGAAAGGTACCGGTCCGCACTGGCCAGTACGTTCCAAACATCAACCGATCCCATTGCCGTTCCTGGGGGAAACTCGGCAGCCCAGGATAATAATCATTATGAGCCTTACCCGGAGGCCAATCAAGGAGGAGGAGGGAAACATGGTTCCGAGGAATCAAAATCCAAGTATCAGCAAATGACTCCCGAACAACTCCTCGAGTTGTCCCAGAAGAACGCGGGCAACAGCACCCTCGGCTTCCACGCCATCAAGTACATCAACATGAAGGCCCGCTATGACCGCGAGGACGCCATGGCGCTGCAGGCGTACATGTCCGGGCTGGATATTGAGGATGCCCCGGCCGTGGAGGCGGATATGATTGATCCCGTTGGGATGCCGCCTACGCATCGGCCGGGAAGGCTCAGGGTGGGGGAGAAGGGGTGTTGGAGGGCTCATGCTAATGTATGTCTTTTTGTTGGCTCCTGTTACCCGGCTCTTTTATTTCTTTCCCTCCCATCAAGAACCCTCAACTAGCCTCTTTGACCTTACACTTCAATTCTCTTCCGGAGTATCTCAAGGAATGAGATGCTGTTGACCCTGCACAAACCCCTACTTCAACTTCTCCATCCCCGACCATGTGCACCCCATCTGCTGCTGCAGAATCCCAACATGAACCCCATTCGCTGCTTGCAACCCGGACTCTAGTCTCCCCAATTACCTACCTCAACCTTAATCCCATCACCTACCACTACCTAGTAGCGACGCACAATCCCCTCCCCCAACCGCTCTCCACCCTCCTCCCCCTCTCAACCCTCCCCCCCCGCCCACCTTTTATCCAACCTCCGTCCATATCTTCTACCCTGTACATAACCACTAACACCAGTCTTTGACCCACAGATCTGGTCCCAAATGACCCGCCACCGCCTCCCCCCCATCTTGATTCTCGAATCCGACGCCGCCTGGGACCTCAACATCCGCACCATCATGTCCAATCTCAACACGCACTTCATCGATTTCTTAAACCAAATCAACTCCACCGCCGTCCACGATCCCTCCTACCAGTCTCCCAACAACCATCTTCACCATCCTAACCCCCCCTCCTATTCTGACAATGGGCCAATCAAACCTAACCCCGACGACCCCTGGTTGTCTGAACACTGGGACTTGTTCAGCATCGGCCAGTGCTTCGAGTACTCCCAGGACCGCGAAATCAAGCTAGTCTATGACGACGAAAGTGTCCCCGCCGGCAAGGAGTACTGGGGCAAGAAAATGGGGAAGGAGAGGGTGATTAGGAAGAGTGGAGGGATTACGTGCACGACGGCTTATGCGATCAGTCATACGGGCGCGGCAAAGTTGCTGTTGAGGGGGGCGATGGATTTGGATAATCCTGTGGATTTGTTGATTCGGAGGATGGTGATGAGTCGGGATCTGGTGGCGTATAGTTTGTTTCCGCCCGTGATGGCGCAGTGGGAGTACATCGGGGGGATAGGCATGGCGGAACGAGGCGCGCAGTCGGATATTAATGGTGGGAAACATCGGGATACGCCCGAGGATGCGGATATGCCGGGGTGGAAGGATGTCCAGGAGAAGGCGACCATTTGGCAGACCAAGGGACATCATCATGATGTTGCGTTTGAGAAGATGGCGCTGAAGGAGGCGTGGACCGAGATCATGGGCGAGGGACCTGAAAAGTTGGGGGAGAGCTTGTGGAATCCTGAGACGGGGGATTAAAGTCGGTCAGTTTTGGAAGGAATTGGATACAGACAAAGGGAACAAAATGAACGGAAGGGAAAGAAGACGAACAAGGCCAAGTGGCTGCTGCAGTGCTTGTCAACAAAAACATCATGCTTGAATCAGTTATGAAAGTTTATCTAATACATTTCTACGTGCAGCTACATGTACACTGCCCCAGTTCTTTGCCTGGCCGTCGAGTTACTCCTGTCAAACATGTCCAACACCACCACTACCACTACCACTACCACTACCAACACCAGCATCATGAACAGCTACATGCCGCAACCACAATCAACACCACAACCACAAACCCAACCCAAGATTTCCTCTCTAGAGTCTTTGTTCTGTGTTTTTCTAGGGTTTTTTTCTTTTTTTTTTTTCTTTTTTTTGGGTTTTATCGTTTTTTTTGGGGTTTTGTTTTTGTGTTCTCGTACTCCATGCCTGTCCCTCCCTGGTTCCAGGCGAAACAGTCCTGGCAGCGATAAATCAGTTCGAACTGGGTCGAGTTGACCTCGGATCATCAGCCTGGTCGGGGTTTGGGACACCACCGTCTGGCGGCTGTTTCGTCCTTCGCCCGAGACGGCGTCCGTCTCTTTGCGCATCCTTTGGCCCTCCCGGAGATGCGAATCCCCAGGCAAATTGATACTCGCGAACCCAACTGTCATGACCCCCGGCGCCATCATTGAGAGAGCCGAGTATGGCGCCGACCTGAAAGCAAGTAACCATGTGTTAGCCTGACATCAATTCCATCAAACATGACACTAAGAAACCCGACAGCAACATGAGAACTCACCATCGCATGTGGTCGTATCCTTGGGTCCGCTAGCGTTGAGGCTAGCATCGCCCCCCATTGTGTATGGCGCCTCTAGAGATAGCGATGGCGAATATCTTTCAGCTGTGAAGCCGAAGCCGAAGCTGAGTTAGCTGACGCACAGATGTGATCATCTTCTGGGCGTGCGAACCATCTTTGTTCACCCTGTCCGGGAAGACAAAAGGCAGCCTGGTATAGTATTCGTGCTGTTCAGGCGCTCCGCGCGGTAACGCGGGGGCCCGGCAGCCGCTTGTGGCATATCAGCTGCCTTGCCGGAAGGTCGGCAAAGGCGCTGGCCGGGCCCGGCATTTGAAGTTGTCGACAAGGCGATGCGCTACGTCGGCCGTCATCCTGGCGGGGAGAAGAAGGAGTGGTTAGCACTTGTGTCTTGATATAGTGGTGAAAAATATAACGGGTGGGGTGTCGTGCAGCGGTGGGCCACTGGGCTGGGATGGGAGGTAGAGAAGTGGCCTTTCGAGCAACCTTGCTTGACAGTCAAATCAAGCTCTTGGTCAGGTTGGCCTCAGGTTTGTGGTAGCGTTCAATGTTGCCTCTATCGGAGAACCTCGCCCCGTTGGAAGGACATGGGATCACAACAACTGTTTGTGTGGTGTACTGCCTCAACTTGGGATCGAGTGGTGGGTTTACTCACTTGTTTTGTGATGGTATAGCAGAAACTCAAAATGGCAGCGGGAACATCATGATGAGCGTCTTGAGAGAGTGCTCTTCTTGGTGTCAATAATGTGTCAGAACTTCATTTCGAAGATCGAAGCGGAAGGAGTTGGACATAAACTGATCAAGACCATCGTCGTCTTGATTCGAACGCGAAGAAAAGGAACCCAAGGAAACTGAATCAGGAAACGTCAACCTGGCTTACCTCTGACTTCCATCAGTGATGATGATCAAATGGAGGTTGATCGGGGAGGACATGGAGAGAATGTCATTGTTTGGTCCCGCTGGTGGCACAGCTTGGGATGGAGGACTTGAGCGGGAGAAGAGTGATGGGATGATGGAGAAGAAATGTGGAAGAGAGGAGAAAGGGAAGAAGACGAGGATTAAGTACATGGCGGGAAACAGAGCATGGGAGGGGAATTCTTTCTGCCTCCCGCACAAACTCAAACGCAGGGCCAGTACCGGGAAGCATGACTTCAAACGCTTGCCGTCGGATAAGGGCAATCTGAGTGGAAGGCTTGACAAAAGGCGAGGCGGGGGAGTCTTGGGAGGAAGGAACGAGAAACAGAGGAGACATTGGCCTCGCACTCAGGACCTCAAACTGCCAGGTGTGCCCTGGTGGCTGCCAGTAACGTGGAGGCTCGGTAGTCCGAGTCCCTGTAGACACCCATGGTCTCGAGCGCTTGAGGTTGGCGAACCAGAGGAGGGCTTGACAAGAGGTGAATCCGTCGAGGACATGGAAGGAAGCAGGCGAATGGCGAAGAAAGTCCTCGCAACTACCTATTGAATTCAAGTTGCCAGGCGTGCCCTTGTTGCCTGGTAGGAGCAGGCCTGGTCAAGAGATCGGAGTTATTGCATGGCCTCGAAACGACCTGAAGCTTGGCAAATAAGATGAGGGCGTGACGTACAGAGGCGAGGCTTGGGAGGAAGGAACAAGGAGGATGGAGATAAACCTCGACGTCTGGACACTTGAGGTGCCCGGCGTGCCTTAGTGCCTGGCAGTAACACTCAGCAGAGGGAGTGGTCCGGGTCTCCTTGTCCCCTCGTCCTGTCTACTTCCGTTCAAGCCGTCCTCCTCGAGTCATATTTCCTTCTTGACCAAACCCGAAATGAAGAAACAACGAGTTCCTCCACGATTTTCGACACTTCCAGTTGCTTCCGGGCCCCAACAGCTCTCGTCAACCACCCAAGTTGGCATTCAAGCCACACACGAATCCTTGTACTTAAATTCGAGGGTTCCTCACCCCCGCCTCTTTTCCCCCTCTGCTTCTTCGTTTTCGTCTTCATCTTCATCTTCATCGTCATCGCCATCGTCATCGTCATCGTCATCGTCATCGTCATCGTCATCGCCGTTGTCGTCATCATCTTCTTCTCCAATCAACAAGTTCATCACCACTTCCGTGCCTCGCTGTCTGCGTTCACTCCGTTCAATTTCCATCACTTCGACACAATCCCCCACCTGCTCAAGGTGATTTTGATCTCCTCCATCCCTCTGAAAATGTGTGCTAACAACAAGTCAGTACGCGGAGCGGGCCGGCGGCTATGAAGGTCCTGCCTACCGCGGCACGGCCTCCGCGCCCGCTCCACATTGTCCTCGACTGAAAACAACACCCGAGTATCTCGACAAGCCCGGCTTGCGTCTCTGCGACTCCGGTAGGTACCTACTTTCCTCTACTGCCCCGTGTCACACTTGACACAATTGGTTCCCGTTCCAATTTGATCCCATATATGTACAAAAGCTTCCATCCTCTTTGAGAGAGTCAAGCACTTTCTTCGCTCACACATCCAGAGTACAATGACCCGTCATCTTCCTTTGTTAGAAGCTAACACTGGCTTCGAAACTGCAGAAAAAATCCGGGGCCCAACGAGGCTATCTTCTCCGACTTCGCCGGTCGGTGCTAGGGCCGTCGTACAGTCCATCCTCAACGCCGATTTGGTCGCCTGGGGCCTTAAACTTTATGAGTACCACCTACCAGTGTCGGGATATGTCATGGGCTGGAAAAGGCGACAACGAAAAGGACTTGATTCTGGAGTTGTCGAACGGAAGAGGAGAAACGGAAACCAGGGCAGCCTAAATATCTGGAAGGGAATGCCGGGGAATGGGCGGCCCAGAGCACGGAATTCCAACAGGATATCATCGAAGATGATAGGTATTCGAGCGCAATTCCATGGCCAGCAGTTTCAACTTTGGCATGTCTTGTTCCGGTGGCAGACCGTAGGGAGCCACGCGATAAAAACACTCCATGAACTGGAACTTGGTTTCCTTTGCAGGTTGAGGATATCATTCAAGATGATCTTCGAGCGAGATTCAATGGCAAGCAGCTTCAACTTCGGCATGTCTTGTTCGGTGGCAGACCGTACCTGTGGGGAGCCACGCGGTAACAACACTCCATGGACTGGAACTTGGTTTCTTCGTTTGCAGATGAAATGGGTTAGCATAGGTGCCTAGGTAGAGGTAGGTATCTCTAGGTAGGTAGGTAGGTAGGTAGCTAGAAGTAGTGTACAGGTAGCGGAATGGGAATATCGGCAATTTCAGTGCCTTCCAATCCTTGTCATTCTGGACCTCCTCCGTGTTCGTTCGTAAACATTCCTATTATTAGCTCCTGGACATGCTATTTGGTGTGGTTGGCGTTTTCTCCCGCACAGTTACCTCTATCCAGGGGCATTCGTGGACTCTGTCCAACATTTTGTCTAACCGTACTTGGGTGTTTGTCTGTCCGTCTCTCGTACCCAGAGGGAATTGCCGACGTCTGCAACGCGAATGTCTCGCCCAGCTAGGCTGACCTCCCGTTTCTTAGGGCTGACTCTTGACGAGGACCCTAATTCCGACACAGGGGTAGGTACGAAGTAGACTGGCAGCTTGAGACCAAGGTAGTACCTAAACCGCAACGGAAATTGAACTGAGTTAGACGCCTGTTTCCATACCTCTAGACATGTAAGAACTAATCGGGTGACACCATCCTTGCAATCCGTGAATTAAAGCGGAGCTCATCAACAAGTGACTGCCTCGAGGTTGCCACAACATCACGACCGGATTTTTAGATAGAGGTAGCCTTCCGCCACTTGCAGCCTTCCGTCTTCTTGTCGAAGAACTTTATGTCAATCCAGATACCTCTACGATGCAGATGGGTGGAGGACGGGCACTGGAGGAGGATGTTAAATACATCTAGGTAAGGTTGGAAGAGGATGAGGAGGGTGGTGGAGGAGAGGTAGAGGGACATGGCAGAGGTGGAAGGGAGGGAGGGGACGATTTATAGCGGATGATGGAGGCATGGAGGTTCAAGGGGAGGAAGGGGGACGTGGAAGGGGATGAGGAGAGTGAGAGGGAGAAGGAGGGGAAAAGAGATGTAGCGTTGGGAAGACGAGAAGAGACTTGGACAAGGACGGGAGTCTTCGGGACTTGGATTGATCCCGGCGTTCGTACCTCTAGGCGTTCGAAGGCGTTTCTGGGGTGGTTTGGCACCTATTTATCCTGCATTCGGCCAGTAACGGACGGGAGGAAGAAAACTTCAAGGGACGGAGTGGAGGAGCAGTCTTTGAATCAAATGATAGAGGTACTTACTTACCTCTAGGTATACCTGAATCGAGTTGACTCGAGAAATTTTGGCCAGCCAGAACCGTATTATAATGTGTTCTATGCCCCTTGTATTGGTCGACAACCGGTTCAGCCATACTGCTGTGGACTTGGATGTCTTTCGTGTCCCAAGGTGATGTTTTGCCCGCTGTCGTTATTGATTTGGACGGAGATAGGGTTCTCATAGAGGTGGTCGTTGTTGAGGGGATCTCCAGAAGAGGTGAAGGACAAAGAGTGAGCCAGAGCTAGGGCAGAGGTACCTCTATGGTTTTGACTGACAGCTGCACTGCCTCCTCCAGCGTCTTGTTGCGCCTTATAAGACCAGGGCAGGCTCTTGCACACTCTTTCTTCTTCCGTCTCTTGCAATCTGTGAAAGTGAATTAGCAAACAAATCCAAAGTGAAAGCAAGGTGAAACCTTGGTCCTTTTAGTGAAGAGAACACATTGACATTCACATTAACATTCACAAGAGCGTCAAATCACCAAGTGGAACATTCAAGCGCAGCCCAGAACCAGATCAATTAATCACCCAGGGTATCAACCTTGAACTCCGGAAAAAAAAACCGTTCATCCCGAACCCAAATCCTTCTTCTCAGTGAAAACTTCAAACCAAAGACCACTAGCAAATCCCAGAATATCATCAGCGCCTCCCAACGCGTCATGATAGTGTGGCATGTTCCAGCCTGTAGACCTTTGCGAGAAGCTCCCAAAACCATGAAAAAACCGGGCCCCTTTTGAACCTAGAAGCGACCGACATCTTACCCCCTCCAGTCAACACCGTAGAGGTACATGACCCAAAGTTAGGTACCTACCTCTACCATCCCCAACAACACTCCATTGTCACCACCATCTCAAAACTCTCCACCTCTCTTGGGCGCGAGCTTGCCTTGCTGGAGCACACCCAAAGACCAGTTCATCTGACGCCATCAAAGTTCCGGATCCTATGCCTCACCTCCCCTACTCCATCCCCCTCAAGGGACGAAGTTGCCCAACACGTTTGCCCCAGGTCTTTGGAAACGCTTTTTTAACCCATACTTCGCTTCACCCGGGACAATTTCTGGGAGCGGAAATCAAAGACTTTGCCCGTGAACTTCCTCGCCCTGGGTCTTTGGGGAGTGCTAAAGTTGCCTCTTCACGTTGCTCCAGGTCTTAAGGAGTCGTTTTTTCAGCCCGTTATACGCCGAGTCCCAGGTCTTTGGGGGCGATGGTTGCCTGTTTGCAGCACTTGAATCCAAGGTCTTGAGGAGCACTGTGATTGCCCTTGTATCGCTGGTCCCGGGACGATGGGGGCGATTCTTGTAGACCCAGCTGACGCTGGAGTCCTACAAGTCCCTGCGGAGCAAGGGCGTCTCGTCTTCGCTTTCACTGTCCTCACCCGAAGACGAGGCAGCGGAGGAACCGCGTGAAGGAGGGCGGAAGGCATGTTCGACAGACGCGGCACTTGCGATTGCAGCGTCATCGTCAGGGCCAAACGCGGACGAGGAAGAAGAGGGGTCAGCGACGGCGGCAGTCGAAACAGGAGCCGGAGGAAGAGGACGAGTCTGGGCTGGGGCTGAGCCACCAGTAGTGCCAGACAATGACATCTGTACCAGGGAATCCTGGGCCTTCTTCAAATCACCCTGGCTGACCGAGGTCAGAGACCTCTGTCTCCTCTTGCTGCTCTTGGGAGGAATGGGCGGCGGCGGGCCATCAGTAGCGGCAGCGGTCTGGCGATCTCTCTCCTCGAGCTCCAGCAGAGCCTCGCGAGCCTCCTGTCTCTTGGCGCGCTCAAAGTTCTCCGGGCCGAGGACGCACTGGCGGCGCACCACGGCGACGAAAGCCAGCATGATCTGCTCGATGCGCTCGTAGAAGGTCATACCAAAGGCGCGGACGACGACGGCGTTGAGCCGGTTGCCCAGCTGAGCGTATACGGGCTCCAGTTTGCTCTGGAACTCGTCCCACCGCTTCTTCTCCAGATCGCGGGCCCGGCGCCAGTCTGCCTTCTCCCGGTCCGACAAGTGTTTCTGCCTCTGGGAGAAGTGGTCGAACACCTGGTTCTTCCACTCGTTCCGCCACAGCTCCTCAAGTTGCCGAATCCGCCGCGAGTGGTGCATGGGGCAGCACATGGCCAGGTGCTGGGGGATGACCATGACTTCTTCGCACATCTCGCCGGTCCGTTGGGCGCGCTGGCACGGTGCCCATTGAGGGAGAATGGGGTCGTCGTCGGTGAGCTTGTTGATCTTGCCCTTGCAACCGCCGTGCTGGTGGTGGCAGTGCCAGTGCTGGTCGATGCGGATGCACATCTTGGCTGCCGACGGGGAGGTAGAGGAGATTGGGCTTGGGAGTGAGAGGGGCTGACTTCCTGGTGAGAAGTCTGGAGAGCAGCAGTGGTGGAGAGACGGGACAGTCCTTGTCTCCGTCGGAGAGGAGGAGACGGGCGAGACAAAACTCGGGCTAGATGTCGAGCTTGTTTGTGGCGCGAGGAGGGACCGACGGAGAGTCAGGAGTAGCAGTTGAGGACGAGAGCGAGAAGGACTTCGGGTGCTAGGGAAGGTTGACGCCCTTGCTGAAGGTAAGGTCGTCAAGGAAGTTCACTCTTGGAGTGAGAGGGAAAAGCGAGGTGGCTGTGAGGCGTTAGTGATCTGACAAGAGAGAGGCAAAGAAGCTGGTAATCTTACTTTTGCGGTTTGGCGTCTTCCGCCGAGAGACGAGCTCAGAGAGGTAAGCCCGGGGAAGTTCTTTCTTGATCGAGGGAGGCGGCCAGAGAACCCGGAAAGGGGACAAAGTCGTAGCGAGCTGGGCGGGCAGAGACTTGTAGCTTGGGAGGATCTTCAAATGGCATGAAGTAAAAGAGAGCGCACTGGTACTGCTGATGATTGCTTTGACTTTGGACTTCTTCACTCAGAGCTTGCTGGTGGGATAATACCTGGAGAAGAAAAGAGGAAGAAGAGGGAAGGAAATCGTGGGCCCGGGCAAGGTTTTATGGAGGGGCAAGTTGGGGATGATCCACGATTCTATTGTGAGAGCGCTGGAACGAGCCTGCTGTACTTTCAAATCATCCCGTCTTTTGACGGCTGGTTGCCTTGGGATTTGTACCAAATGGACGTCATCAGGACAACAGAAAGGAAAAATCGAGCCACTAGCCCTTGGCATATCTGGGTCTCGAACTTGGAGAAGAGACGAAAGACGCGACGAGATAACGAAGAATGGAGAAGCTACGGTCTAGTGTCCCCGCAGGGCAAACGCCGTCTTGAAGTTGGAAGGAGCGGCTACAAGATGGCGGGGTGGTCTGAAGAATTACGTCTCGGTCCCGGACCGCGGGGCTTCGGGGCTCGCAGGCAGATTCTCATGGTCATTGCTCTTGAGTTCCTGAACGGTTTCATCAAACTTTTAGTTTGGATACGGAGACAGCTTTCTGGCGAAGAACCCGAACTGAAGAGTCCAAGTCTGGCATATTGCTGCTATCATTAGGTAGGTACCTACTCGAGTCCCAAACTCGGGCATACCTCTACGTTCAAATATTGTTCTGGCAATCATGTGGAATAAAGCACACAGTCTTTGGCACATATTTCTTAGAGGAATTTGTATGTAAACCAGCCATATAGTATCAATTCCGCGTTTTTCTGTGCTTCGCAACTCATCTTGACTTGCGCCGACTTTGTGCTGGCCACTTCCACCATTCTTCCTCGAAGCAAGACACTGTGGCTTTGCGCCCCGACTTTCGTCTCAACTCCAAAATTTCCCGGTCATCCAGAATCTCGCGAGGTATACAAATCCAGGCCCTCTTCGTTGAGGCTGGAGAAAGCAAGCATTGATCCGATCACAGTCTTCAAGCTCGGACCTTATCCCTGCCTCGGCGTACTGGGCGAGACAGACACTCGACGATTTGCCCCACCTACCTCTAAATGGTGAAAAGTACAATGTATCACATTATGTTGAACAGCTTGGAATAAGGCGTCGAAGTTTCATCTCTACTGCTATAATTGTCCGAGCCTTTCTTTCTGGAATTTCTATTGGGAGTCATTAGGGGCAGGGAAAAGGGATGTGGTCATCTGCAAGAGGGCAAAGGAGCCCGTGCAGGAGAGGCGAAGCATGAATATACAATCCACGGCAAGCTGGAAGTTTGGTTTAAACTGATATTTTATCTGTACTTCTTTGAGGCAGCCTCCAGCCAGTGTTGAGTTGTGCGGCTGGGTGCCTGGCGCTTGATGCTGGGCGAGGCACGAGCAAGACTTTGAGCGCAGGGAGGAACACTTCGATTCCTCCGCTGACACGAGATATCACGTACAGTGGTAGTGATTTGTTCCATGCCCGTCTCTAGAATTGACTAGAGGTGCCTCTAGAGTACTACATGTATCAAGTGACCACAACCGCACGGCTGCGTCTTCTCAACACAAATTCCGAGTTTTCTCTCTTTCGTAGAGCCCAGAAGTAGTCCTCCAAATCCCAAGCCGACTTTTCCGGACTGTGTGCCTCCCCCCACATCCTGTACATCCTCACTTTACGTTCAAACACTTTTACAAACCATGATGGAAGCCCTTCCCTCCAACAGAAACGGAGCAAAAGACTTCCCTTTTCGTCTTCAAATGACTTGTTGTCCTAACTTCTATATCGGTCTTGTAAATGGTCCGAAGTCTTGGAGTTTTGTTCCTCTGTCTCGTCTCCATCTGCTGCTGAAACAAAGAGCAAACAATCCTCCCGTTTTCTGGGTTACGACTGCTTGTTTTCCTCCTAGTGAGACCGCCGTGTTTGCTCAAGTGACCTACCTCTAGGCTTTGTCATGAGATGGCAAAGAGATGAACACCTTTACATGGGAAAGGGAAAGAAAAAGAGAAAGAGAAAGAGAGAAAGAATGAAAGGAATAAGAGAGCGAACGAAGACGAAAAACCCAAACATCCTAAATTATACAAGACAGTCCAGTGTCCCCCTCTCGTATTTCTCCACCACCACGCCAGCTATCCTCCTCCACCAACTGTTGGATATCGAAAGCGGATAGTTTCAAAAAAAATGGACCCAAACAAGAAACTGCGGGAGCCAGTGCTCGCCCGCTAAAAGTATTCTGGGAGCCGCTCGCCAGGTGCTCAGATTGATCTTGTTGACTGGGTCGGTGTATTGCTCGTTGATCTTCTGGGCGGAGCATCAAGTTGCTGAAGATCTTTCTTGAGGACTCCCGTCTCGGGGGTAATCTTTTCGGGAGGTCGAGGACAGGGTGAGATTCTCATCGCTAGATTCAATGTCGAGAGAGCCTGCGTTGCATCGAAATCGTCAGTGAGTGCATGGACATCGTAACGGGCGGAGTCAGGTCTTGCAGTAAATAGAGGTATCTTGTTCGAAGTCGGCGGCGGGTCACCCTCAAGGTGGTTGGAGGGCTGCATGTGCATTTCTTTCTCCATATCCTGCTTTGGGTCCAGAGGCATCCTCTTAACAGGGCAGTCAGCTGAAGTTGTGTCGGGGGGCAAAGGGCTGATGCGGGGCGGATCCGGTTGAGCGTACCTCGAGACGCCAAATAGTCTCGGCCAATGGAGTGCTCGAGGGTAGTAGCGGTGCCATTGGCGCAGGCGTGTTGTTCTTCCGGCGCTGCTCAGATGGTGTATTTGGTCAGAAATGCACATGCACAACCATCAGGTCAGGATGGAACAGCGATGTTTGATAGCATGGAATGAAGTTGACAAAGTTTGTGATCGCGGAAGGACAAAGGATGTTGGAAGTTTGAAGGAAACATTGATCCAGAAATTCCACAGGCGCAGAGACAGTAGAGGAAAAGAGTCAGGATTTCTTACCTCAAGGCCGAGTCTGCCTGATGGGTTGCCGACGGGACACTTGCGACGCCGGAGAGAATGTCGGCAACCCATCAGACGAAGATAACAGGAGGTTCCTCTTGTGGTGATGAAGTTCTGAAGGCTTGGAAATAAAGAGGGCATATGATGAAGGAAAACGGGACGAGCGAAGGGGCTGGAAGAAGGGGGCCTTATGTCTGCCAGCATGGTCTCTCAGAGCTGAGAGCCCAGGGGCACGAAGGAAAGAACTCGACCAACCAAGTCGTCACCGTACAGATGTACCTTGGCCAAGTATCTCCCTCCTTCCCATCCACTCTCTCAAGGAAGATCTTCAAAAACAGCCCAGAGATGTGCCTTGCTCTACCAGCAGGGATGGCATGGAGAGGTGGGGTGTATGATCCAGTAGATCTTCGGTCCCGGAGCAAGTCTTCCAGAATCCGGGGCAGGCACGCAGGACAAACAGAGATCGAATTTGATGGTCAGCTGTTTGTTTCCAAAAGGAAAGAAGGGGAAGTCATAGTCACGGTACCTGAGGTACCTCTAGGTACCTGCTGGCACCTGGTAGGTACAAGGCTGGAAAAGCCTGCCCGTGATTGAAACCCAAAATCCGCTCTTTTTCCCTCCTCGCCTTTTCTTCCGTCTCTCTTCCTCTTTCACCCAACATCAAAGTGAACTTCCTTTTGACGGACTTCCATCCCAACTCAATTTCTTACAATGCTCTTCCACTTGTCCCGCGATCCCAAGGCCGAGTTAGAGTTGCTTTTGGGCTTTGCAGTGCTCATCTGATGGCTCTCGGTGATCGTCTCTCTGATCCTCAAACACAAACACGCACCTCCAAACAACACCCCGTCGGCCTTTGGGCAGGTGACGTCGATGCCGATGACGACGAAGACAGCGGTGACGGCTTCACCTTCCGCATGAAGATGTCTTCCGCCGAGCCGTGGTTCAGCCCAGCCTAGAATCTCCGGTTTTTTTTTGTTTTTGTTTTTTTTGAGTTCGTAAGTACATCCCCTCCCGTAAGCCCAAACTGCCCGGTATCGTGCATGTGCCTGACCAAGTCTTCAGGAGGTAGCCCCGGCGCCGCCGGCTTGACTTTTCCGAGTTGTTTGTTCTTCCTTGGCCGTCCAGGACTCCGGGACGGGTGAACTTTTCTTGGGACCCGATCAGTTTATTGATGCTGTGGCTCCTGCAATCGCTTCTTCGTAAGTACCTCTAGGTGCTCGCTTTCTTTTCCAACCCATTGGTCTTCATGTTCGGTTCTTTTCAGTCTGTCATCACGTTGCTAATGCCACTTTCTGTCTTGCTCTAGGCCGCTATACACCGACCCGGTGAACAAGAGAGGAGGACTTGCGTGACGGTGCCCGACTTCCTTCAATTCAACGTGCTCCTCGACATCCGCCACAAGTTCCCCAATCCGGGGTTTGATCATCTTTCATACAAGAAGTGCCTTGAGATAGAGGTACCTCTACCTTATGACACGGGATTTCCCCCTGGGAAATCGCTGGGGACCCGATGGGAAGCCACTGCCTTGTGCCCACAGGCATGGGCTACTACACATAAGGCCTGTCAACGGGGCCTCAAGCTCCCTCGAGACTCAGATAGAATCATCATCATCAAAATCCATTGATTGAGAGCTACGCTGGTTTCCACGCATCACCTTACCTAGAAGTAAATCAAGCAAGAAATCTTACCACCACATTCGTCGTCTCTCGCCCGTGATCAGCTCCTCCGTCGTAGAGTACACCACATCAAACAACCCCACAAACTCATCAAACAGGGGCAGTCAACAGCCAACACGTACAGCCCTAACAGCTACTACGGATTCCTCGATCCGAATGTGAATTTTTTGACTATGCTCCCGAATGTCTCGCTTTCGGCATCCATGTGCGATTCTTTGGCCCTGGAATAGAAGTCTTCCACTCTCTTCTTTGCAGTGAACAAGTTCCTAACAGGCCACGTTTTGGCGCTTTGTACAGGACGCTCCGTTGTAGGCTCTTTGGACTTCTTGCTTGAAGCAAAGGTGTCATAGAAGTATAACTTTGTTCTTGCCGGCCATGAATGTGTTGTCGATAGCTCTTTGGCAGAACGTAAAGGCTGCAGGTCCTCTCTGGCGAGAACGTAAAGTTTCTCGAAGGCTAGCAGCGCTTCAGCTCGCTTCCTTGCTGCCTCCTCCTCAGCTTGCTTTGCTGCCCGGGCCTGCTCCTCAAATCGTCTATTGAAATCCCTAGGGTCCAGATCATAGAGGTAGTCTGGATCTCCCCTTTTCCTTGCGAGAAACAAGTTTTTGTTCCTCCAGGGGATATTGTCCATTGGTCCGGTGTGCTTCCCTTCTTCTGGATTTGCGTCAAGATGTGCGATATCTTGATTACCTCTACCGAGCGTGCCTCCAACAACCATAGCAAGCTCACATGTTGTCTCTGATGTCCATTGTCTGTCTCCACCCATGCCCGGTCCGCCAATGGAGATGATCGCATCGGCCCGCTGCGAAAATCCGCCTTGAAAGGCACTCTCGAACAAGCCACCGTGTGCATTGAACGTGGCCGAAACAGAGCCGTGGCTGGTGCTAGGTGTTGAGGAGTTCGTAGCCTGAAATGTTTGAGCTGGAAAAGGTGCCGAGGTAAAGGTATTTGGGCGACTTTGGGGCACTGGTTTCGTGATGAACCAGCGATCGAAGGTCTTGTGCTTGTTAGAGGGATTCTCATCTTTGCCAGTAGATCTATCCCCCTTCAACCTAGCAAGGCACTCATCATCCGCAGCATCTCGAGTCTCTTTGCCAGAGCTGGAGTCGTATATCTCGTCGACTTCGCTGTTCTTGTTGTCCTTGCTGCTCTCATTATCCGCATCGGTAGACCCGGGATCCAAAATTTGGCTGTTGGTCGAGTGGTTGGGTACCGCCAGGGAGGCACTCAAGCGACGGGGTCTGCAGGAGTTGCTGGAGGTGGGTGGAGGAATGGGCTGAACTGGTATTGTTGTCTTGATAGCCTTATTCTGGGTGGACATCTCAGCAGACTCTTTGGCTGACTGACGCCTCGATTCGAAGATGGTGGAGGCACCACTCTTGAGGTCCTTGCTAGAGTTAACAAGGCCAGGCGACGATGTCTTCTCGCTGCGTTCGTTCGCCATAGTGAGAGGGTCGAAGTTAACTGCGTGGATCGAGAGATATAGGTGGTATACTCGATGAACAACCGCGGGAACTAGTAGCAATCTACAAAGAAGACGATAAGACCTCAGACCAGTGATGTGCTTGGTGGGCATCACCATATTTATATATTGAGGTAGACACTCCATTCACCACGTGTCATGAAGAGGAACTCTGTCATTCATCATCAACCACCGTGCTTCAAGTACAGCGGGCATTATCGGGCAGATATTGAAGCTGCAGCACCATGTGCAGCGTACCTAGAGGTACCTCTAAAGAAGTAACAGAATAACATTTGGTGCATGTAGAGGTACTGCATTGTAGAGGTATATTTACCTCTACAGAGGTATTCAACGGATTTTGCGGTACAGTGGTGCAGAAAACTGCAATGCACGTACAACGGATTTACAAGTGAACACCGTGCACTGACCGGCCCTACCGCAAAGACTCGGGGCATTGGATTTATTCCACCTAGGGAAATCAAGCATGGAGGTAGAGGTAGAGGTACTGCAACATTTATGCCGGTCAGAAAACGTCTGCACCACGGTGATCCAGCGTCGTCAAAAAAGATGTAGGACTGGGGAACGCATAAAACAATCGAAGAACTCGAATTCACAGTGCTTCGGAGTAGCGTATATGTCCTCTCCTCTTTTTTGGTGGCATAAAATGCACCCACGCATTCTTGCATCCCTCGAGGCTACCTCCACTGTACCTGTACGCTGGCTTGTGCTCCAGTTAATATGTCTACAAGGTGATCTTTCTGGGCTGGGACGTCAAAGCGAACGCCTCGAGTCTTCGCGGATCATTTTTTTTCGAGCATTGCCTGCAGCAGATGATCGTTCTGATGCACAAGATAGCTGGCAGCAAAGTGAAGACGACTGCCACCGCTCTTCTCTTTCTCCTGGGCTGTCACTTGTTTGCTACACCTTTGTTGTCTGTCACTCACGTTCGTTTCCCTTGCCCATTAGTCTGCCTCTATGGTTCTTGCCTTTTCCATTCGCCTTGGTTGGCTTTCGACGGGACCGAGCAAAGGAATCTGAAGGTGGTGGGGCCTAAAACGGGCGCCTGCGGGGAGCACGGGGTTTCTTGTAACATGACGCGGTGATGGGAGCAATCTGATCGGCCAGACTCATTGATCGCGGTTAGGCAGGCACTCGCCCGTTTTGAGCCTTCCTTCTCTTGATGAGAGAGGTGGAGGTGATACAAGGGTGATAGCTCTGTTTTCGGAGGTTGTGAGCAAGTGGAACTCCACGAGGAAGCCTGAAAGTGCTTTTCTCTATCCAGTCGAGAAAAACAGCTCGAGACTTCGGGGCAAATTACAAGCAGTCATCAAGGTACGGGCAAGTCCTCACGGCCGTCTTCCGGCTAAGGGACACTTGGAAGGATTACGGAGACGACGGGAGGCCAAAGCTGGAGTCAAGAAGTCAGAGTGGCCCCGGAAATTGCGAAGGAGTGTGAAACTGCTTCCTAGAGGTACTCTGGAGGTTCAGCTAGGTACCTAGGAGGCAGAGGTAGCTCTTTCTAATTTTCTGGAATTGGAGGACTCAACCGCACAAGAGACGCATGACGCGATCCATGAATTTCAGCCGATCCACCGCCAGATCTGGTGCTCATCAAGTCAGGAGTCTTTGATTGGGCGCCTTCTCCTTCTCGAACTCTCCATGTCTTCCGCTCGACGTCTGGGACTTTTGGCTGCCTGCCCCTTAAAATTTACCCGGGATTCCAGAACTCGCGCCTTCCTGGTTCTCTCCATGTTCCCTGCTGGCGACCGCTGCTCAGGCTCCCATGAATACAAGCCGTTCTGGACTGCTGGATCGGATCGGGCGGTCTTTGCGAAGACTGTCATTCAAGGGTGTATCCTCGATCTATTGAGCTTCCAGGTTTCCCATTATTGCTTCTTAATTTCCCATTCTTCCATTGCCCATGGACATTGCCTGATTTCTCTGAGTCCGCAGCTGCCCCTTGTTCACTTTCGAGTAAGTAGCAAAAAATCCAGCTGGACTTTGCGAGCACCTCTACGGTTCTGCGGTGTAATTCTGGCATGATCGAATAACTCGTCCTCCTGCTCCCTGTGGTAAATCTGGGTTCGCACTTTCCTAGCACTCTTTTGCAATCTTTCGATCTTGGGATTCGTGATCAACTTCAATTCTCGTGACTGTGACTGCCAGTGACTGCCCAAAGGCATGTTCCCGTCACCGGGTACCTTTACGGCTCATTTTCTCCGCTTCTAAGGGCTTATCAACCTGTAACTTCCCGTCTACCTGCTTCTTGTAACTCCAAAGGGCTCTCGTGACTTCCAATTTGATTTTGATGCTCGAGTCTTTCGCCGTCATTGCGATGTGAAACCTCCAGTTCTTGCCTGCAGAGAAGTGACTTTGAGGTTGATCATCAGGTGATAAGAAGATTTCGGGAGTCACGCTCCCCTCGAGGACGAAGACGTGACCCTTTCCGTGGTAGGCACCTGCCTCGAGTGCTCTGAGCGAAGAAACTTTGCGTTCCTTCTGATGGACGAGTGTCTCCCATCATGGTGGCTCTGTGCCTCCCCTGAAAAGCATAAAGGGCCATCGCTGCTCACATCTTTCTGACTTCGACTTTCCCACTCTAGTCACACACGAAGCACGTCTGCAACCCCAGTGCCCACAGTGCCCCAGAGCCACTCTTTCTCAAGAAGTGTGAGTGCAAGCAACATGGTCCATCCACGTTGTCATCGCCTTCCTTCTTTGCTGACACCAGATCTTCAGCTTCACCCATCACACAGCGCCTCCAACTCTCCTCCCAAGGCCCCCAGTCCCCCGGTGCCCTCAAGAACTGTGAGTCCATCCACTGCCTGAACATCCACCGTCGCCATTTCCTTCCATTCTAACCTAACTTGTCTTTTTGCCAGCACAATGACCGAAAAGACCAACGGCGCGAGGGTTGGCGCCGCCGCCGCTGCCGCCACCACCACCGGCAGCAGCAGCAGCAGCAGCAGCAGCACCACCACCACCACCACCACCACCACCACGAGGGGCACCAGCCCCAGCACCAACAACACCACCAGCAGCAACAGCAGCAACAGCAAGAGCAGCGGTGGGGGTGGAGGAGGGGGCCTAGACTACAACAGGTGGACAAGGGGCGCCTGGTTCGAGTAATGAACACCATTTTGGCTTCCTCCGTGTTTTTGTTTCTGTTGTGCTTCCACTTTTGCCGTGACTTGCCTCCATCTCATGTGTCTTTCGCCGTAACCTATCTGGTGATTTCCACTTGCCTGCCACTTCCAACTTGCTCTCCAGCAATTCAATCGTATTTGCTTTCCGCCGTAGAGGTACCTAGTAGAAGTGTCTTGCTTTCCGTCCTGCTCTGTGACGTAACATGGAACCGACTGGACGTGGAAGGATGCCTGGGGTTTTGCTCCTGCGTCTCTCGTTCCACCAACGCTCTTGCCAGCCCGGAAGACAGCATTGGATGTACACTGACTTCTCCATCCGTCGCTCATTTCCCACGCACGCAGATAAAAGCCCCGCGGTCCCCGCCTCTCTCTGATCTCTTCTCTGATCCTCGCCCAACGCGCACTCTTTTTTTCTCTCTCAGAATCAGTTCACATCTTCCTGGCAACCGTCAAGCAAATCATTTCTCTCCCAGCGATACACGCCCACACTGACACATTTCATCTTCTTCTCCAAGGCTCCCTTGCGTCACGGGGGTCTGCTCCTTGCTCAATTCACGATTCTTCGCCGCTCCGCTCTCTCTGTTGCTCATGGCTTGGACATCCAAGGGCCAAGTCTTTACCTCATTCGCTACCTCTAGACGAGCAGCGAAGTCTGTAAGTACACCTCCATGACCATCAACATATCTGATTTCCGTTTGTTGTCTTTCTAGCACAGCGCCAACATTAACAGCAGAATGCAGAACCGGAAATGTGCTTCGCCCGGTAGCAGACTCTTTTTGCTCGCCCGTGGCCCCGCCGCTACCGCCCACACCTCTTCCGTTGCGATCACCTCCGCCAGCCCCTCCTCCAGGCGCACAGCCTAGCAAGCATTTCGACAACTCGATCGACTGCTTTAGAAAAGTCATTCGTGACGAGGGTTTCAGGGGTTTACTCAACCTCGCTGCCTCTCGTGGCAGCAACACAACACACCACCGTTGGGAGGGTAAGTCACTACGTCCCCAGTTTCTCCTCAGATTACCGTCTGGCATTGGATCCATGCTGATCTGACCTTGTGGCTCAATTGGATAGATAGAAACCGACAACGTACCCATCTGTATCGTCGGCAACAAGAGTGTTCCGAAACCGAACAACTCTAGAGACATGTCCGGCTTGACGATTTTTTTATGTTGCTGTTGGCGAGATTTGTGAGGGCGAGAAGGCCATCATTGGCGTAATGATAGAAACTTCGGAGCTGGACATCGTCGAGCGGTCGGGGAACGTTGGAGCTGGATGTCGTCAAACGGTCTGTTCTTCGTCTTCGTCTTCTTTTCCGTCTTTTCCGTCTTCTTTTCCGTCTTCTTTTCTGTCTTCTTTTCTGTCTTCTTTTTCTTCGTCTTCGTCTTCTTCTTCGTCACCTCTGCGTCTTTCTCTTCGGGTCTGGAGCTGGAGGATTCGATGGTTTCAGCGGTTACTTCTTGTAAGTAGTCCAGTCTTGGTAGAGGTGGAGATAGAGGTAATTTTGGAACCAACGGTGTTCGATGCCTTCTACTTCCTTGGATGTTTTGATCATGTTCGGGTGCCTCGAGGCCGGAATGAAAGTCTCCACTCGTTCCCAGTGTTGATAACGCATGTTGATTCACAATGAAGGTTGAGGTGTTCGTTGCAGTGAGTTTTGGGAATCCAAATCTTTAAAATGCCGGGGCCCACAAGCCCGGCGCCTTGTGGCCCTCAAGGTGTTCGAGTTCCACCCCGGCAGCTGCATTAGCAAACTCCTAACGGTGCATTGATTTACAATCACAGGTACCCTAATATGCCGGTATTCTTGAATATATGTATGCAGGCTGCAGAAAACTTCGAATGTGGGCGGGCATATTTTATTCAAAAATTGGACTTGCATGCATGTTCCGGCGAGCATAGAGGAATGCCTTAAGGTCAAGGCACTGGAAGCCCGTACCAGGACCAGGAAGTATAAGACGTAGCTCTAGTCTTTTGTGATTCTGTCTTCTTCTCCTTTTCTAACAATTTCGAAAAGACGTTCATGTTCTATCTCTTTGCCCAAAACGACCTACCTTTCGCAACATCCGCCCAATCTTTTGCACATCTTTTCTACACCCACACCCACACACACACACCAATACGCCTTTTTCCCGGAGGAAGCAATACAATGGACGAACTGCTCAACATATTATTGAAGCTTATAGCAATCCTGATGGCCATTTCGTAGGCGTTGGTGTTGGTTTTGCTTGCACGCATGCTCTTTGGTTTTCTCTTTGGAGGAGTAAACATTGAAGGCATCGATGTGAGAAATCTCATGGAAGTTCTAGATGTGGTACTCGAGGAACACCTTCTCTTTCCACTCGTTGAAGAAGGGGTGTGGTTCGAGGAAGAAGGGGTGTGGTTCGGGGTGGACGTTGCAGAAGCCCTACAACGGCAGTTGGGAGCGGTTGAAGAGCAGGATTTAGATCCTGATGAAGAGGCCCTAGGGGTAGTGCTTCTACTGATCTTACAGCGTGGGCTCGCCCGTTGTGGAAACATTCGACCAATTCGATTCAATATCTAGGTTTTTCAGTCGCAGATGGGCACGAGGACGAGCGGAATACCGACACTGAGGACGTGTGGCATTCTGGGCCATTTGATATCGAAAAGGGGAAGGGTTAGGGTCGAATGTGGGATTTCCGGAAGTTGTGTTCTTGGCGTTTGGGTCCGCTTGTTCCGCTGATTACAATGATTGGCTCCATTCAGTGCAATTCGGGCCCGCTATCAACGTCGTCCCGTCCCGATCTCAAGTCCATGAGTACATCACGGCCATGCTCAGGCGTCGCATTCGGCTTCATTTTCGACGCACGGCTTCCGCTCTCTTTCAAGTCTCTGGGTTCTCTTTCCCGTCATTTACTGTCGCTTTCACAACAACGAAATCGTCGAATACACTCACCCAATTTCGCAAAATGTCGTCATCTTCCTCTCCGGAGCTTCAACCACCACCAGCGCCAACCACAACGCGCTATCCAACAGGTCCTGTTCCTTTCCTCGAATACCCATCACCCAACACCACAAGTACCAGCAGCAACAGCAGCAGCAACAGCAGCAGCAACAGCAGCAGCAACAGCACAACAAGACCAAAGCGCTACCTCCTCTTCTTCATCTCCGGCAACCCCGGTCTAATCGACTACTACGCCCCCTTCTTCACGCACCTGCGCTCCCTCCTCAACGAACTCGAATCCAAGTCCGCCGCCTCCAGCTCTCCAGGACACCAACAACCCATCACCTTCCACATCTACGGGCAAAACCTCATTGGCTTCTCCGACTCTGACCACGCGCCTTTTGTACCAGGGTCCCCAGACACGGAACCCTTCGTGCTGGAAGAACAGATTTCCCACCTTTACGACTCCCTCGTCTCCCTGAACGAAACTGAAGGACCCTTCGACGAAATCATTCTGGCCGGCCACTCCGTCGGCAGCTTTCTGTCTCTCGAAATCTTGCATCGCTCCCTTTCCTCATCTCAACCCTCATCTCTCAAACTGCTACCAATAACAACCGCCCTCCTCCTCTTCCCCACCATCCACCAGATGCACCTCTCCCCTTCCGGCTTACGCCTCAGTCGTATCCGGTCCATCCCCTTCCTCAACCAGTACGCACACGTGCTAGCCAAGTCTGTTGTCGATCTCGTGCCGCGGTTTGCGCTGCGGTGGATCACGCGAAACGTACTAGGCATGTCTGAGCACGGAAGCGAGGTTACTACGCGGTTCTTGCAGAGTAGGGATGGGATCTGGCAGGCGATTCATTTGGGGAAGGACGAGATGGGGGTGATTAGGGATGGGGAGGGGAGGTGGGGGTGGTGGTCTTCTCCGATTTCCTCGACTAGAGGTACCTCTGAGCAGCACGAGAGTAATGTGGACGATCTGGAAGAAGAAGTGGTTGCTAAAGAGATTGAAGCGGTAGAGGAGGATTGGCAGCGGGTTGCTGATGCTCAGATACGTCAGGAGCTTGATGAACATGAGCAAAGGGGGAAGGGACAGGAACATGAAGAAGCAAAAAAGCTCAAGTTCTTCCTCTACTTTGGACAAAACGATCATTGGGTGGCGGATCGGTATCGGGATGAGTTCATTGAACGACGCAAAAGGGAGGGGCATACGGGGAAAGAGGGAGGGACAAAGATTGTGATTGATGAGGATAGGATTCCACATGCTTTTTGTATTAATCATAGCGAGCAGGTTGCTGAGAAGGTTAGGGTTTGGATTGAGGAGGTTGTTGAGGGGTAGATGGCGTTGGAGGAGGAGGTACGGCGTATTGGAGTACGGCATTGTCGAGTGGAAAGCATACCTCTAGAGGTACAAGATCGGCGTCCAGCGGTTGGATGGCACATAGAACTGCTTTACGGGCTTAGAGGAGCAACATGCATTTTGGATTCGGAAGCAGGAGTATGTTGGACTAATAGATATCAGCTTTGCTACAAGACCGTCAATTCGTTACATTCTTCCAAGGCCATGGATGAGGTGCTTGGACAATGACACAGCCGTTCGGAAACCCTTTCAACGCTTGAATGAGTGACAACATCTATGACATGCACCTTGACGCATGTCCTAACGTGCTAGTATCATTGCATAACATCCTCCCCTGACAGTCCCATCTCTCTCCACGTCGCTGGCATCTTGAAAGACCGTTTGAGATGCCCACTGCCGGCCTCTGGTGGACTACTTCGCCCTGTACCCCAATCCTCCTATCTAATTTCCACCTTCACCTGGTCAGTGTTGTAGTTGTACCTACCCCTTTAACGATCTATTCTGGAACCTGCCCAGAACTTGAACCTGGACCTGAACCTAGACTAGAACCTGGACCAGATCTTGGGCTAGAACCTGACATAACTTGAACCTGAGCCTGAACCTGAACCTGGTCTAAATCAGCCTGACTAGAACCCGGACTAAAAGTCTAAAGTTGTCAAACCTGGACTACAATGCGAATCTGGACTAGGACCTAACAAAACCTGAACCTAACATAACCTGAACCTAACATAACCTGAACCTGATCCTGATCCTGAACCGGGACTAGATCTTGGGCTACCTAGAACCTGAACCCAAGCCTAGACCTGAACTTGACTGAACCTGAACCTGGTTTAGAACCTGGAACCTGGAACTTGATCCTGATCCTGGACATGAACCTGAACCTGAACCTACCTCTAGACTAGTACTTGAGCGGCTAGTCCTGATCCCGATCAAAGATCCACTTCAAGGTCAAGTCGTCAACTCCCGTCTCTCTTTCAACGCCAGCCGCTCCAGCATAGGACTCCATTCCAAGGTCGAGTTATCAACTCTATTCCGATCATTGAGCTTCCTAAGTTAGGTACTTGCTGACGGTGAAGACGTATCTGTTAACACCGCTAAATATCTCTTCCATCAATTACTCGCTTCAGCTCCAGTTCGGCCATAAAAAAAAGTTCCATGAGACAGGGCTAGTGATAGTCGGGTGTCTACCTAGGCCTGTATGGCTGGCTCGCGGGAATGATGCAGTGTACAGGTATTTAGATATGGAACTCTAGATTCTGAAAGGTATATCCTCCAGCTTCCAACTTTATCTTTCTGTTGGGCAATCATTGAATGTTGAGGTACATGTACAACAGTCAACGGTCCAGAAGTCGATTACCGGTTGCTGGGTTGGATGTCTTAAGGGGGTCGTTGCTTGTTATTACCTACACAAATCACATGCTGGACAAGAGGAAGCATCAGAACACCGCTCGTGTGGCCCCCTGTCTGTCGGCTTAATGATGGTCGTAGCAGTGCTAGGTGTGTACTGTAAGCTATCAGCCTATGAAGTTTGAACGTGAAGCTTTCAAAGGGATAGGAGGAAAAAGCAAGAAGGTTGGTCTGGGGCGTTCGTAGGATACGACATGCCTCTCAACCCGTATAAGCAGACTTGACGTATGAGCCGCGGGAAGACATGCACCGTGTAGTGATTTATGGTCTAGACTTCTTTTGTCATCATTACTAGAGTGGTTGAGCAATCCCTATTTGCTATCCAATATCCAATCAGGACAGTTTGGCGTGCCACCCTCAACTACGAATTAAGCATCGGGCCATGCTGTATGCGGTCATGTCTTTGATCGTCTTTTCCAAGCCTTGTCCCTGTTGTTGTTGCTTTCTTTCATTGCTCCGAACGTCATCTGTCATTAAAGGCATCATCGTGGTATATATCCAATTCTTGTCCTTCCTCCTCATCCCTACCTAGATATGTAGTAAATATCTTGCCTCATACGTATGTTTCGGGCTTTTGCCGAGAAAATATCGATCGTAGTACCGGTATCTTGTACCATATCTGGCCCTCTGACTGTCCCTCTGCTAGTGTCGTACTCCCCGCAGCAGTGGGTTCCATGTCTTCTATACCCTTGTCGATCACAAATCCTTCGTTTGGCCTTTGTCCGACACTCGCGATCTCCATCTCCTGCTTGGCGTAATATTCGTAAGGCTTGTAGCGAAACGGCGGTTCCAATTGTGTTGTAGGCTGTCCCTCCTCAAGTGTCGCAGCTTCTGGTTCTCCCAACGGTAGGCCCGTCCTCTTTACGATTGGTCTGGAGTCGCGTTTGTCCAGCTTGTGACAGAAGTAGTTGAAGAAGAGGAAGGAGTGGAGGAGCCTGTTACGTACAGTTAGTTGTTTCTCAGGCAAACCCCGTAAAGGCTGGAGGCTCAGGTAGCGTGGACTTACATTAGTAAAAGCAGCATCGCAACCTCCACGATGCCCTTTGCCAACGGCTCATCATACGCCGACCCAAATGTCGCGGTTCCAATGATCAAATCGACTAGTACAATTCCCGTGGTTATCGCGACGCCCACAAACAAGATCCCATCAGCCCCGACATGATACACGGCTGGTATCCCGCTCGATTTGCGGACACAAATTGCAATGAACTCCGCGGTGTTCCAAGTGATGATAACGGGTGCCTTTCGCAAAACATCAGTTAGCATAACAGTCCTCTCCCAAGTTCCCTCTAGTGACTCGAGCGAACGAGGGAACGAGGAAAACCTACCACCACGAGCACAGCAATCATCCTCCCCGGCACACCACCCCAGTACGGCCGACTTTCGACAAACACCGCCACGTTCAGGCTCCACGCGATGATGGCAACAACCGTCGAGATGGCTCGAATGATAATGGAGAAGATGAACCAGGTCCTATGGACTGATAATCCAACGCCTCGCGCGCGGCGCCATTGTTTGATGTCCCGGCGACAGGGCTCCTTGGTTAAGGGAGGAAGGGTGTCTAGCCAGGACTCGATGACAGGGTTGGTTGGTTGGTCGAAGACATAGGCGGGCGGCGGGTGCCGCAAGGGGGCATCCCGCGGCATTAAGCCGTTGGCTTTGGATGGGCTGGGCGGCGCAGCTGTCTGGTATTTTTGGCTCAAGGTTTTGAGTCGCGCATCTCGAGCATCAAGACGAGCCGATAAGGTGACCGGAATAGTGGGTCCTTCGAAACTGAGTGACGGTTTCGATGGTCTTTATGGCTCGTCCAGCTTGAAGTTTGGAAGAGGGAAATAGCGGCGCAGGAAAACTATCGTGTTGTTCCTTTGAGATGCGTGTTCGTTGCTACCGGTTTGTGTTGCGGTCCTCGGTGCCTCTCGGCCCCCCACACTCCCAATTCTCAGTTCTTCCGGGCTCCTGGACCGTGATGGTGCTTGTCGGACACCCAACTTGCAAAGGTCGGACTTGTCGTTGATGAAGGCCACAAACAAGATGTCTAGATTCGAGCCATTGCGCCGCCGGGTACAGATGTTTGTGAGAAATGTGAAAAGAATAAGTCAGAGCCCAGACGCGAGTGTTGAAGACGCCGGTAGGTCTAAAGCCAGGACGTTGATAAGTCGTATAACGACAGAAGAACATGTTCTGGAGAAGAAAGTCCTCCTGCCGTTTGGTCAGTAAACACGAGAGAGGCCAAGCTTGTCGAGAAGGGTACCTACCATACTACGTTAGTACGAGCAAGCGTGGGAGCCGTTGTGGAGAATCGAACAAGACAGGGGAGCAGGTTTTAGGCACCGAAATGGGACCCCTGTTTCCTTGTAACGATGGGAATGCTTGACAGTCAGTGGCCCTACAGGGAGAGTCTGGAGAACGGGCAATGCGAGACACGGCACCAGCAACCTTCAGGGGGGAGTGAGACGGAGAGAGTCTGGATTCCTGCCAACTTTTGATTGGGCGGCTCTGTTAGGAATTCGCCTTTCTTTAACTGGCTCGACAGGGTCTGGTCTGGTTGTTGGTTGTTGGCCGCTCGCTGTTTGTTGGTTGTTACTTTCTTTCCGTCTCAAAGCGGCCGAAATGGAACACGACAAGCAAAAAGGCCCGAGCCGTCAAGCCCTACCGGGAGTTGGGGACTCGGTTGTCGGCACATGGTGATGGCGGTCTTCTTTGACTTTTGTTCGAAGCAGTGGCTGCTTGGACTTGTACCCTGTCGATGCTTCCCTCCCAAGAGTGTTTCTCTGCTCGGGTCAGTGCCGAGTGTGGTCAGATTAACGACGCCCAGTTGATCGATGTCGCTGGTCAGTGCCGAGTGTGGTTGGCGTCTCGGCCCCTTCTATCAAAGTCGATCGATCCGCGCCAGATCCAGCTCCATCCAAGGGCCCGCTCCTTCCACAGCTGTTCCTCTCTCTCGATCTTGGAAAGTGCACTTGCGGTCCACGCCAGTCAATGAAGAACAAGGTCCGACGACATTTCATGCCTCTCACTCGCCCTTTCGATCCATTTCCACACGGATAAACAGCTCTTTCTCAGGACATCCATATGTTGAAGGCCACTGCTGTCTCAAACAAATAAATGAGGGTTTTGAGAGCAGGTCACATTCATGTACGACAGACCACTCTGAATGGAAGGTGATTTTTCTTTGCATTTTTGGTGGTAGTGTAGTGTACCATCTCGGAATTGGTGCATTGACCGATAGATTGTGCAATGTCTCGGCGGGTTCATCCAGTGGGGTCGACGCAGGCACAATTATCCCTAACAGCGAGTTGATGGGCAGCTGCAGTGTTGTAGAAAACCCCAACGGCCCAACCGCCGGCCCTGGAGGCATCCCCGCATCGATGCATGTGATAGAGGGGAAATGCCATAGTCGTATGTAACATACCTGTAAACCGAGCATTATGGACATCCTAATACGGCTCGCTTTGGTCAAGAAAGGCCATTGCAACACAGTGATGGGGGCTATGATTATATGGAATTGCATTGACTAGAGTCACTTGGGGATTCTGTCCTTCAAAATAGAGTTGCCGACATTAATTTCAGGTTCAAAGGAACCTTATCTTGAATTCACATACGTTTGGATGCATGATCAGAACCTAATGTAGTGTAGAACCAAGGTGTAATGTATTGACCGTGACGCGTCTGGCTCATTGTTACAACCATTCCACTTTGTGTGCTTGGTGCAGACTGCCCGGTTTACGTCACGCTGGTGATTGCTCTGCTTTGTGGGCTCTTGGCGCCTTCTACGGCTTTTTTTCTTGGTTGCAACTGAAACCGCACCACTCTCATCCCACCACCAGAGACAACTTGCGACTGAGTGTCTGGAGGGAAGTGCCGAATTGCGTTGGGTTTTGCTCAGGTACAAATCCTCGGCCCGTTCCATTTCTGCCCTGTTTATCGAACCACTGCACTATTACTAGTACTTATCATCATCCCTTGGACTCTTCCACTTCCCGTCCACATTCTTCGCTCTACAACACCATCCCCCTCCCTCCAGTCTACGAGTCTTGGTCGGATATCTCCATCTTGACATTCTTTCAACTGTCCATTCATTCCTACCTACATTCAAACCGCAGACATGGCCAAGATCCAGCCGGCCCAAGACGAGTCCCTTCTCGGCACCGTCTTCTCCAACTTGATCCGCGCTCGCTACTTGGTGACCCGTCTAACTGCCGCTGCCGTCGACACCACCTGCCAATATGTCACTTCGCCCGAATACCGCAAGAGAACCCACGACAACGTCAGACGCTTCCACAACGAACGTCCCCTTTTGACTGCGTTTCTGCCTCCCCCATCCCAAGCGAACGCCAATGTCACTTGGCGATCTGGTAGCATTCAGCTAATAACCCTCCCCCTCAATTAGGTATTCCTGGCGATCCAATTTGCGCTCGCTCTTGTCCCGTCTCTGCTGTTTCTCGGATATATCGCCTCCACCGTCCTTGTTAGCCTCGGCGGCGCCCTAATCTTTTCACTCTTCTGGATGGGCGTCGGCCTCTTCTTCTTCAGCTGCGCCCTTCTCGCTACGGGCGCTATCGGTGTCTTCTTGTTCGTCAGCTTCATTATGTTCCAGCGCGCCGTTCAGCTGCTCAACACATTGACCTCGACCCTTTCACAAGGCGCCCGACCTCCCCAGAAGCAGGAGGAGCGTGAGAAGCAGGAGGAGCGTGAAAAGCCTCTTCCCAAGGCTGAAAAAGTTCTTCGCATTGTGGATATCAAGCAGGAGGACGGGCACATGCAAAATGGCACAGAGGAGAAGGTCAATAGCGACAAGGAGTTGTAGGAAGCTCTTCCTGGGCTCAGTGGAGGCGACACGCCGCCTCCCGTGGTCTATCAAGATGCGGCCACTGGTGAAAAAGAACACGTCGAGAATCTGGAGGAGCCTAATGTAGAAATAATACAAAAAGAGGTTGACGATATTAAAGACTTGCACCAACCATTCCTGAATAATAACGAAGGCGACATTTCACCTGCAATGGCTTTCGAGAACGACAAGACGCATGATCAGCCGCCCAACACCCGTGGTCCGGTCAGTTTTACCTCTACTTATTCTCCTTCTGGGTCCTTTGTCAATCCTCCTAGGTCTTTCATCAATCCCGCTGTGCTTCTAAGCCTCAGAGGCGGCGGTCTGAATGAGCCTGCTTCTGGGGAAGCGGAGGAGACCACTCATCTGTCACCTCGCGAGGACTCCTTGAACTCTCTTCCTTCGACAACCCTCGTGGGGTCTCCTCCCCTGCCGCCACCACTCCAACGGTCGCCAATACCTAAAACTACCGCGGAATGGTTCGAGACTCTTCAGCATGAATCGGAACGAATGGTCATGGGGAGCTTTATTCTCAGCGGCCTGATATTCCCCGGTGTCGGCAACAAACTCGCCGATAAACTGGCGGCTCTTTCCGGCACCAAATTGCGGGACATGTCAGCCATCAGAAACGAGTAGGCCTCGCGCCTAATGAAAATTGACAAGGAATGGTATGAAACTTATGAGCGTATTCGCGAACGAGTGCGTTTGGACAAAACCAACAAGCTAAGCAATATCGTGAGGGCAGCAAAGGCAGAGGCCAACCCGCACGTATGGTGGACCATACCGCTTTTACAGCGCTACAGATCGCGCGCTCTTTCCCCATGTGCTGCAGTGGCGCTCGCTTGCGCGGAGGACTTACTCAATGGCCTTTGTGGTCGATATGTCCAAGGTCCCATCCCATTCTCGGTTTCGTTCCCACTTCTATGTACCCCTTCACGTACAAAACAAGATGGGGGAATAGAAGTCATTCAGTTTATCGACTGCTTCGCCTCAAGATTCAAACAGCAATTTCACGGGTTTCGTCAAGAATTTGATGCTGAAGGTGCCAGTCCTCCGACTTCTACGAACAATGAGCATATCAACATACAGAGTTTCAACAGGCTAGTGTGGTCACTGGTCGCCGATTTAGAACACCTGATATATGGAGATGAGATGCCAAAACACAAGGACACGCATCGTCCCACGAAGGTTGCCAAAACTGAAGGTGATGATACACCAAACCACGATGGACCAGCCTTCAGCATTGAAAGGTGTATCCTACAGTTATTCTGTGACATTGACCCAAAGGAATACCTCAATTGGCGCACATGCAATGAGGCTGTCTCAAACACGATCGCGTCAACTCCAAAAAATGGGGAAACTCTTACAACCGATCAGGTTCTGCAACTCCTTGACCATCGCAAAACAGGCCCCCTAAAGTCTGAAGGCTTTGTTGTATGGCGCGGTAACCCAGATGATCTCCAAACTGATGAACACCAGTTCATTTGGATGAAGTATAAAAGAAAACCACAAAGCCACGAGAAACAAGCCAAAACCCAGATGAAAGCCGTAAGAAAGCGAGTTGATGCATACCTTTCTTCTTCAGAGGTACTTGCCGATCCCGCCAAATCCGCCAATGAACCCCCGTCATCCGACATGCTGCAAACACTTAAGGCTCAGCTCGCGGAGTCCAGCTCTGGGAATGAGAGTGGGAAGAGCTTGGCCGCTGACACCAGTGCTAATGACGAGATCACAGTCGAGACTGAGCTAGAGAAGGGCTTGAGAGAGGAGCTGATCAAGCGTTGTGTTTTGCGTTTGAATCCGGCTTCCGCTTCCCAATCACAGGATAAGGGCAAGAAGAAGGATGACGCGGCCTCCACAGTCACGGAAAAACCCGTACCAAAGCCACATCGCACTATAGGCGATGCCGCTGCGGCCGTGCAGGATGAGTTGGGCAAGGACGGAGCCGCCATTAAACTCAGTCACCACAACAGTTCCCGTGTTGTGGCCGTGAAGACCTCCATCGACCAGCTGCAAGGGTTTGAACGGGCAGACAGGGCAGACAAAGCAAGGCAGGCTCAGCTGACCAAGAAGGGGGATCCGCTCACATCTCAAGAACGAGAAAGACTCTTATTGGTGAAATCCGACCTGAAAAGTATCCGCGCTGCCTTTGAGCAGCAGAAAATAGTGAACAGAATAGAGGAGTTGGAAAAGCAACAGAAGGTGAATCAAAGGCGAAAGGAATCAGAGCTTCAGATTGCCGAGGCCTGTGCCAGCGCCGGACCCAATGCCGGCTGTAGTGCTAAGAATATGGCATCACAAGCGTCGGCGGCGAGGCGGTCCGAATCAAATGAGGATAACTCGAGGGCGGCCAAGGAGGCGAGGAGAGAGCTGCCATATGAAGTGATGTGCACCGTTGCTAATGACACGCGACGCACCGCAGCTATTCTCCGGCTGCAGGAACAGGATCCAACCAAACCGTCGTCCTCGGTTAGAGGTACTTCTGAACATGGCATGGCCGACTCAGTAAAGATGCTGTCAATGGAGCAAATAAGGGCGGGCACACTGAAAGGGTGGATAGCTGAGGCCGTGGAGACGAACCAACTCGTTTTAGTATTGCGCGAGCGCCTGGAGGAGATGAAACAAATAGAGGCGTTCCAGGACTGTATCGAAGACTGTCAGGCGCTTATAGACCTTCATGAACATTGGGCGGACTTTTACCAAGAACTGGCCAGACGTGCTGCTGATGAGGAAAAGGCTGAATCCAAAGCCGAAGGACCGACAAAGGGCAAAGAGAAGGCTAAAGAGGAGGTACCTACTGAAGATGACCATGGCATTTGGCCTGCTGCATGGAGAGAACACCATGAGTACCTTGCTATGTGGAGAGAGAAGGCTGCAGAGAGAGATTCATCCAAAGTTGCCTGTAGTTGTTCATCAACAAAGGAAGAGGCAGCTGAAGGGTCAAGTGCTGTTGCCGGGCTTTCTCGGACCACGAGTGAGAGTCCTGTTGTGGAAGAAGATGCCTCTATCTCGACTGCAAGCGAAACGGGCAATGATGCGGACCCAGTGGTTTCGTCTGAAAGGAGGATAGAACTGCTTGCACAAGAAATGGGGTATAAGGAGGCCTTTGACAAGGGCTTGGAACGGCTGCGGAAGGAATTTGAACCCTCTAGTTTGACGTCGGTTGCTGATGGCTTCACTGTTTTCCAGGAAATGAACTCGACTGCTGATGGGAGGGCTACTGTGAGGCGTATGGAGGCGCGTGCTATGAGGTTCATTGCTGCTCACGGTGGTGCTGTCGTTGATGACGCCGTCGGTGATGCTGGTGCTGCTCCCGGTGGTGATGACATTGGCGGTACAAGTGTCGGTCCTGATGACTCCGCTGGTAGCCCCCCTGTTGCTGATACTGATACATCTCATGGAGGTCCAGACGATTCTGTTTCTCCTTCTAGCCCCACTGGGTCTTCTGATAATCCTGCTGATTCTGAGAACGATGTAAGTCTCAGAGGTGGCGGCCTGAATACATTGGAGGAGGGTTCTTAGGAAGACGAGGCCGTTGTCTTGGAGAAGGACGAGGCAACAGGAACAGTCTGCAATGCAAAAGAAGTCCAGGACTTTTGGGATGACGTCCGCAGGCAGTTGAAGGTCGATGACGACGAGATATACGACTCCGAGTCTGACTACGGCGAAGAAGCCAGAGTGCGGAGAAAGGCCAGAGATGCCGCGGATGATGCCTACCTTGCGTGGTTGAGGGGGGGCATCTCTACCGCCTTCACCATGGACACCTTAAAGCTCTCTATGAGACCCGACAAAGATAACAACGACAAGAGGTCCGCCCCTCCTCTCCCGATGCCCATGACCCGGGACAACACCGCCGCACTTGGTCCAGCTTCTCAAAATATTCCCGGACTGACAGACATTTCCTGCAGGAACTTGTTCCCCCCGAGGAAGTCTAATAAGTTTGAGGAAGATCCCAGGGACCTTGACTTGAACAGGGAGTTTGAAGAGGAGGCCGCCGCCGCAGCCGCAATGCGAGTCGAACAGCAGCTACTTCTTCTCGCCGCCAAAGAGCCACCTGCACCACCCGCCGCAACACACTACCACTACCACTCATGGCCAACAAGTGGAAGAAAGTCACAGGAACCATGTGCAAACAAGGAGTTGTTGTCCAGGTGCGAAAAGCTGGCAAAGCGCGCCAAGACGTGGTCTAGTAGACTTTTTTTGTTCTCCTCTGCGAAGAAGGAAGATATAGATTCCCACGAGAATCCCTACAGGAATCCCTACTATAAGGAGAGCACAAGTCGTCTGATGACATTGCTGCGAAGGGTGACGGGTGCAGGAGAGGAGTGGTAGCTGCTTTTATGGGATATGTAGGTACTCTGCGTCTAGCGGTTCGTTTGGTTGTGGCTGCGGTTGTAGTTATTTGAATTTTGAGCTGATGTGGCGAAAAGATGTTGGACGACCTGGAAGATGGAAGGGAAAGAGATGTAGAGACGCATTCGTTTGTTCAGACATTGTTTGTTAGAGTTTATAGCGGAATCGTTGATCGTATCGGACGTAGTAGCGTTGATAAATAAGTAGGGATTATGGAGAATGATGATTTGGCAGTTCAAAGATACCTCTATTGAGTGTCGGTGAATCTCGTTCGTTAATGGATGTCAATGGTGAATGTGAATGCATTGATGTGAAGAGAAGTCGAAGCGGACGTGAAGTGTTGCGCGAACGTAAAAGACAGTGCAATGCAATGGTTGGTCAAACCTGATGGATACATACGGGGTTGGGCGGGAGCAAATACAGGTGTTGCATTAACAATTACCACTGACTGGATGGCACTACAGCGCCCGGGCCAGGAGAAAGAAAACAAGCACATGGGTTCGTTCATTCAGGTTTGGGACGTCGGGGTTGCTTAGTTGCCTGAGGCGCGGACGGCCGGAGTCGAGGCACAGCATCAATCACATCGTCGGACCATGAGAGCATGATTCACCCGATCAGGGCAGCAGTTTAGAAACAACATGTAACATGTCTATCAAAATTCCCTGATACCCTAGAAATACCTACTGACCTGATGAAGTTGATGGTCTATGTACCTATGTACGGCAGGTACCTCATCCTAAACCAAAGCGTGACCCAGTGATATTCATTCAATAAACACATCGCATCATCATTTCCAACCAACAATCCATAAACCACTTCAATCACAACACTTAAAGCAAATGGCCATGCTCAAATCTTTCAGCTTTGGTGTTCATTCCCATATGAACAGAGTCATCATAGCCATAACCCAATCAGCCTTCAAGCCACCACCTTTTTGATCACACAAGAATCCCATCCAGCCCCACGATCAAGTTTCCAGTCTATAAGTAGATGAAAAGAAGAAAAGACGTGCCCGAGTAAATTAGAAAAGAACGCCGAAATTACATGAACCAACAACCTGACTATCATCCCGCGCTTTTCCAGAGACCTTGAAATTCCTCTAGACAGCACCGGCGCTGATCATCTTCTTGCGCAGGTAGTTCTTGTAATCCGAGATGCTGCCCTCCCATTGCTTGATGGTCTTGTTCTCGCACACGAGAATCTGCTTGGCAATCTTGTCCAAAAGTCTGTTTTTTCATTGTGTTAGCATCCAAGTCATGCGGGAGGCCAAGTGGGAACAAAACTAACCTGAAATCGTGAGAAACAACGATAACACCACCGGTGAAAGCGTTGATGGCATCAGCAAGCGAGTCAATGGTGGGGATATCGAGACCGTTGGTAGGCTCGTCGAGCAAGAGCATGTTGGGGGACTCGATGGCGAGAAGGGCAAAGACGATACGGGACTTCTGACCGTCGGAAAGGGTACCGATGAGCGAGGTCTGGGCCTCACCGGAGAGACCGTACTTGCCAAGCTGCTGGCGCCAGTACTGGTAGTCCTGAGACTTGTCGGGGTACTTGTCACGGACGAAGTCGAGAGCCGACTTGGTCAGGTCGAGCTGCTCGGCAGAGTGCTGGGAGTAGAGACCGAGCTTCAAGTGGGTGTGGCGCTGGACGACACCATCGGTGGGGGAGAGCTTGCCGGTCATGAGACGGAGCAGGGTGGACTTGCCAACACCGTTGGGGCCGACAAGAGCGGTACGGGAGTCCATGTCGAAACCGAGATCGATGTGGCGGTACAGGTCGTCCTTGGGGTCGCCAGAGTACGAGAAGGTGACGTTGTCGAAGGACAGAACGGGAGGAGGGAGCTTCTCGACATCGGCGAAGCGGAAGGAGAAGACTCTGTCCTGCTTGACAGGCTGGATGAAGCCGTCGGCCTCCATCTTGTCGAGAATCTTCTGGCGAGACTTGGCCTGACGGACCAAGTTGGCGTAGGTACCAGCGCTAGCAATGAACTTCTTGATGTGGGCAATTTCGTCCTGCTGCTTCTGGTAGGCCTTCATCTGGTTGGTCTCCTGCTCGGCGCGGGTCTTGTGGTAGGTGTCGTAGTTACCACCATAGTAGATGAGGGTCTGGAGGCGCATGTCGATCATGCTTGTGCAGACACCGTTGAGGAAATCCTCGGAGTGAGAAACCAGGACGAGGGTACGGTCCCACTTCTTGAGGTATTCTTCCAGCCACACGCAGGCCTCGAGATCCAAATGGGCAGTAGGGTCGTCGAGAAGGAGGAGGGTGGGCTTGACGAAGAGGGCCTTGGCGAGGGCGACACGCATACGCCAGCCACCGGACATGTCCTTGGTCTTTTTCTGGATGGTCTGCTTGTTGAAACCGAGACCGGTCAAAATGAGGGAAGCGCGGGTCTCGAAGGTGGAGGGATCCATCTTGTCAATGTGCTGTGATGGCAGAGTTAGTATCTTGAATGCGCCCGGCTCGGTGTGATCATAAAACGGGAATACATACATCGTAGAGGTCCTCGAGGAGGGGCGAATCGGGGCCCTCTTCCTCAAGAATCTTTTCGGCGACGCTCTCGAGGCGCGCCAACTCGTTCTTGGCCTCGGTGACAACCCAGTCAAGGGCGCCGAGCTCGCTGGGAGGAGCACCCTCGTTGAGAAGGTAGATGTCGACGTGCTCGGGAATGGGGTACTCGCGGGCGGCGATGGCCTTGAGAAGGGTGGACTTGCCGCAACCGTTCTCACCCAAAAGACCGTACCTGCGGCCGAGGGTAAGCTCGAGAGTGGCATCCTTGATCAGGACGCGGCCGTGGAAGACGAGGGAGACGGAGGTGATCTTGACGTCCTTGGAAGCCTTGGTGGAGGCCAAGACACCGGTGGTGACACGGTCCGAGAGACCGTGCTTGTCCATCTGCTGGGCAAGGCGCTTGACTTCGTCCATCTGCTCGCTCTTGGTAGCGGGCTCATCCGAGACGACAGGCTTGCCAAAAGCATCGAGCTCGACTTCCTTGGCGGCCTTGCCCTTGTTGGCCTTGGCGGCCTTCTCGGCGAGACGCTTCTGCTTGGAGGCGGAGGGCGGCATCTTGAGTGATGATTCTGTGGTTGATTTGGTTTGGTGGAGTTGTGTTGGCGACGATGCACAAACACAAAGGGATACCTTTGGGGGGGTTGAAAAAAAAGAAGGTGTCGAAAGAATCTAGTTCTCTCTAAACAGAATCACCAAACAAATAGTGATGGGGACTGGAGGGAGTGGTGGACGGACTAAGAAGGAATCCGATCGAAAAAACACACACTCTCTGGACAGACAAAAAAACCGACCGTCGAGCACACAAGGGGAGGTGGAAAGGAAAAAAGAGAGCAAGCAAGACGGGGACAGTCAAAGTCAAATGTCGGGTTCGGTCGAAGGCAAAGAATGATTGGGGGTCCAGTACACGTTCTTGGCTTGCGATTTTGCTTGTACCCAACCAGGCCTGCCAGGGCAGAAGAGGTGGGGGGGCGATTGCACTGTCACTGCCAAAACTTCAAAGCGGCGGGGCGGGCGACAAGGACTCGAGCCTCCCTCCGTCCTTCACTCACAGTGGCTCTGCCAGGGACCTATGGTGGGGCTTTGAATTTTCACAAATTCTCTGATAACGATTTGCTGATACTGCCCGCCAAAAGCCATCTGATAACGAAGCAGCCTTGGCAATTAGGTACCTCTACGCTAGAGGTAGCGGTCAGGCCACAAGGCAACAACGGCTGGCTTATCGTCTGCTTATCGGTTGGTCAGCGCTCCAAACGATGCATTCGACAACTTTTTGGAATCTTTTTTTTTGTTCAACTCTGGCCCGAGTGTTGGCTTGGCTAGACCCTCGAAAAGAACAATGGCAAAGATGAAAGACGATTCGCTTTGCCGGATTTTGAGAAAATGTCCATCCTGTCCGTCCTCACCGTCTTGCTCTGCCCACATCCATTTTATCTCGTTCATGCACACAATCCAGCAAACACTTTTCCCATCAGCGACTTGCACTTGTCGAATTGCTACACGTGTTGGGGCAGACGCTCGTTTTCGGTTGACGTCACTCCACCCCCCACCGCTGCATGTGCCACTGCTTGCATCGCTTACCTCATCAACCCCTTGGGTGGCTGAACCGACCGTTGAGCCTTGGGGTTCGTTGCTCACAGCAGCACGTGGTTTAGCAATTTGGATTTAGTATCAGGTATAGTCATTATGAATCACACAGAAACATGTCAGTCCAGATCATTCGAGTTCAGTGCCTTTTATCACCGACACGTTTGTGAATCATTGTATCGTCGATGGGACGCCGCCGTGGCTTTGTGTATCCTGAAGGGTTAGGGTTAATACTTTGGTGCGACGCTTGGCCGGAATGTTGAGCTGGACCCTGAGGCCTGAGCAGACCTCGACGCCTCGAGACGCCGATGCGTTGCCACCCGGAGGACAGTAACTCGATTCTTCTGGTGCCCTATCCTTCCTTCCCATCCATCAAAGCTGCTGGAAGGTGGGATATCCTAAGTCGCTGTCTCTCATACAGTTTCAGGCGGGCATGCTCACAGTCTAGGCCTGATTTCCAGGAAACCCTCAAAATGGATGGTCCGAGTTTCTGCGGTATGTACCCGGTCCGAAAGAGACCCACAATTCCTGTTTAGGTCCCGGCCCAGCTCCGGCTCTATCTCCAGCTCCAGCTCCGGCTTCCATCGACCGGAATCCCAACCCGCCCTGCCTAACCCAACCCTGAGCCAAGAAAAATACCTATCGTCTCTTCTATGACAGGCCTCCCGCCGAAATTTGAATCTGGATCAAAGCTGCGAAAAGGTGAAGTGGATGGCTGCTCATGCCCTCTGGGCATCTTGCGCATGATGATGAACATTTATACTAGTTGGAAAGTGTTGTAACTACCTAATTATCTATGATGCTCGTCAAGAGATACTAGCACTGTCCGATCTGTAAAATTGCGGCTTTATTCCACTGACACTATAAAAGACTAATTTTTATGCAGAAAGAAGTCTTTCTAAAGGCTTATGTCCAGCAGACCAGCAGACTTATAGCCAGATGTCTGGTGAGCTGTGTTATATTGGCAGGTTGGTTTTGGTTGAGCAACTTATCCTCTCCCAATCAGGCAGTTGAGCGTATAGGTGGAAGATTCTGGCAATCGATTCGAAAAGAGAAATCAGTGTGGTGGTAAGATATACGTACCCTATGCTCCGACTCCGTCAGCTAAGTTGATAATTTTGTCGTGATGATGTCCATGGCATGATGTTATGTCTTCGCCTTTTCCTTTTGTTAATACATACTTCTTTTTCTTACCCTGGTGAATTTGTCCAGATCTGTTAGACCACCACACACTCAACCTTCCTGATGCTAGAGATACATACGAAAGTACCCTTTTTCTTGCTTATCGGGGATGGTGGCTGAGATGCGCACCTTTGAGTAAATTTTTTCGACTTCCACACTTGCTTCATGTTGTCTTGGTGTCATGCCGGCTGGTCTCATCTTGCTCGCTTGCTTTGAGCTTGTCCTGCCCCGCCTGTGCAATGTACATCTAGAGCCTGTCTGGCTTACGTGCCTCGTTCGGTGCGTTCTACGTGGCCTTGGCTTGAACAACCTTCAAGGTTGCCCGTCCGCCGCCGTGTCAGGCGATCCCGCTCATCTCTTTGTCCCGTCCGCTGTGTTGGCGTCCCCAGAGCAGGCAGGGTACTTATTGTTCAAAGTAGGATTCTTGATGGTGCTGTTATTCAAGTTCCATCCGTTTCGAACACGAGGTTTACAGCAAGTTCTGCTCCGGCGAGCCAGAGCGAGCGGGCAGTCACAGTTTCAAGGTACCGGTGTACGTGCAATCGTCTCGAAAATCCCGCGTGGGAGTCGTGGGTTCGTAGTTGACAAAGTGAAACATGATGAACCAATTTCTCAGGTTATGTCATCTGATCTGGAACATGAGTCCTCGTGCTTACTGCGAACACTGCAGTTTGGGTCTGCACTGCCGGCGGCCGGCAATTCCCGGCAGGCAATGATGAATTCGCAATCTCATTGGTTATCATTGAGCTAATAAGGTACGTACCTCTGCGCACGTACCACTCAGTGAGCTCTGCTGGTACCTAGCGGCAAGAGGAAAAGAACTTGAAGGCGACCATCGAATTTTGAATTCTGATTGATTTTCTCGACCGGGCCAACGTAAGTAGGCAGGGCAGGGTAAGCCAGCCAACAACAGGGTAGGCGGCAGGGCGGTCTGCACGACATTCGAGAAAATTACAAGTTTTTCAGCTGCTGCCCTGGCATCATAACTAATTGTTTAGGTCCTTTCGCCTTCTCTGAAGGATGGATATGTCAATTCAAAAGTCAAAAGAATGGAGGAAACTATGTCGGAAACAAGGAGGTGAAGGGCAAAATGGGTAGTGCGAGGTTGGAACAACAACATGGGCGATGTGGCCTCGGGCTTTTTCTCCAGGCCCCAGAATCATTGAAGTCCCGTCGCAGGGGTACGTACCGTACCGCCCGCCCCAGCCGGCCGCGTTCCGCGCGTGCACCCCGTCCGTTCTTTCGATCGCGCCAAGGCTGGAGATTTTTCGAAGAAGCATGATGGTAAAATTCTGGTAAAAATTCGACATTGGAGTTTGTGATGCCAAAATATCGAATGTTGCTCTACGCTCATGGTGAAGGAGGGTGGATCTTCATGTAACGAAAAGATAAGTAGGTTGGCAAGTTTAATGGTTGGGCGTTGACTGTGTCTTTCTATTTCGCGGGCTGGCATAGCACTTCGGCAGTTCTCGTCCACATCAATGGAGTGGTTCAGATGAGAAAATCGTGCCTTGGCTTGGCGTTGTTTTTCAGCTATGACTCTGACCGGACACAGCCCGAGCGACCGGGAGATGAAACATCATACGCGTTCAGCTTGTAATATCACCAGATTGATGTTATAGTAAAAATACTCGAATACCAAGGAGTATACGTTTCGCGGCGCAAAAAGCAAGCCAAGTGACAATGCCAACTAATCACCACATGGTGATGATGCTCAAAGTATCATCCCGTGATGGTTCTGTCCAACTCAAGCCTCGGGTAACAGGCGGACAGGCTAAGAAACAGACGCGGGCCTAACAGGACAGGGACCAAGTCGGTGGGTCTAGCGCGGTGGGCTGACGTCTTTCGCGGAGCGCAGAGTTGCAGGGCACAGGGCAGTAGGGCACAGGGCAGGTGCGTGCAGCGGGTCGTGGAGGTACAAGGCCAATCAGAAGCCGGGAAATGGATCTGCTGCAACGGGAATGGGATGCATCCAATGTGGTGCTGGACTGGGGTGGGCAGACTGGGCCTCTTTTCCCCCCCCCCCCAGTGATGGATGGATCGCTCATCCTTCACGAGAGGCAACTGGAAGACCAGCAGCAGCGCGGCCTTACGAAAGGGGCACGTCTCCGGTGAGAGAGAGAGAGGGAGAGAGAAAGTGTGAAGAGTCTGCATTTCCACAGACACGCACACAACGCAGATAGACCCCCCCAAAAAAGAGCAAGTACCTGTAGATGTGGCCATCAGCCGGAATAGAACGGACCAGCCGGGCAACCATCATGGTCAAGGCTGTCAACAACAACTGACCATCGCGAAGTACCTCTTGCCATTCCGCGCTATCACCACGACTCCCAACACCATCACACCGTTCCTGTCCGGGTCTCCATCGGCCATTTCTCCTCTTCCGTGCTGTGTCATCTCAACCACCTTACAATCTGGCTTCCATCCAGACTCGCTCCCCCCGTCATCCGACGATCCCACATCACCACCACCAACACAACCATCACCACCACAGCGATTACTTGCTGCCCATCAAGACCAGTCACCATCTAGTAGTGTTTCAGCTGTCATTGCGACTCTTGGACGATTGCTCCCAATCTTTCCCGTGACGACTGCAGTTACTGCCTAGCGACAACTGCGTTGCGACAGCTTTAGTTTCCGAATAGCTTCTGCCCCTCAGCTTGTCATCTCGGGTTGCCGCCATTCTGTCCGATCCGCAAGTCGCGACAACAACCGCTTGTAGCAGCCAAACCACCACCACCGCCACCCGACCGATCAGCCGCAACGGCCAAGACAAAGTCATTGATTCCGACCCCGAATCGACCGAATTCTAGAGCAACGCAGTCGAGAAGCATCAAAACCACCTCTACAAATGCACTAGAGCATAACAGAGCAAGCTCGCCGCTCTTCCTTGCGCCGCGCCCACTTTGTTTGGATCGCGCCCAAGTACAAGCAAGGCAGTGGAAATAGGGACTCGCCGGCAATCGTCTCGTCCGATGGGATACCGATAACACGTAGAGATTAGGTATACAAGCAAGCTAGAGACGGAGACAGAGTCAGAGACAGAGACAGAAAAAAGAACGAGACATTGTTGTATTGACATTGTACTTTGTACGTTTGGACTGGAAATTGAGGGGGGACCGGTACACGGTAGACACCAGACACCAGACAGACAGCAGCCGGCATGGACCACTTCTCGACAGTGCTGCAGCGACCTCCTCATTTTGACGAGGATGGAACAGAAGGGAGAGGAGATCGAGGAAACGGCGCCGGTCCAGGTCCAGCACCACCACCACCACGCGGAGGTCTGCGCGACATTCTCAACCCAGTGAGCAGCAACAGCGCCGTACAATCCCAAGCAGCAGCACCACCACCACCAGCAGCGTCATCATCGCTCCATGGATTTGCAGGATCAGTGCCGCCGACCTCCTTGACAAATTCTATGCGCGCGACGCCGCACAGCTCGTCCTCGTTCAATTTACGATCGCCGACGCAGCAACCGTCGGAATACCGTCATCCACTTTCCTCTCTGGCGACTCCAGCACACGCTGCTGCACCACCACATCTAGCACCCTTTACGGCCTCGCCTCCCACGTCCACCATCAACGCCAACAACAACAACAACAACAACAACAACGCGCTAGGTGCCGCCGGCAGTCTGAGCAGTCAACCACCACCACCACCACCCACGGGTCCGCCCTCAATTCTTAATCCTCCAACACCAAGCCAACAACATCAACAACACCACCATCCCAATCCCTTTGTCGCAGCATCCGCACCCTCGCTGCCGCCGCCGCCGCCGTCCTCGTTGCAAGCTCCACCCGCCATTACACCCATCGCTGGCCTATCAGCTCCGGCCCCGGCATCGAGTTCGCTACCTCTGTCAGCAGGAGGCATCGGAAACTCCATCACGGTCTCGTCCAGCTCCCAACCGCCAGCCCGAGCATCGCAACTGCACGCGCCATCGGCCTACTATTCGCCGGCAGAATCGTTCCGCGATCGGGATTCGTCAGTACGCGAAAAATCATCGACAGGCGGCAGCTTTTACGACCCAACCGCCGAGGCCAGCAACAGCATTAGTGGCTCGAGTCCACGAAAAGATCGAGATCGCGACCGTGATCACCGGGGTACAACAAGGGAATCACAGCGCCGCAGGGTTTCGGGCCATTCCGACACGGGCTCCTCCTGGCGAAACGCGACCCAGACTTCCGCTTCGGGCTCGGCCAGCAACAAGGTAAGCCAAGATCCATCCATCCATTCACTACGGCAAATGGAATCCACCGAATCAGCACACTAGCAATCACCACCACAAGCCTCAACAGTCATTGAACCACCAAACCACCACACTGCAATACGCACACAACACACACCTGCCTGAGTCGAATGGCCATGACAAACTTTCTGGTCCCAGCACCACAACCCCGTCACGTCGTCCTTTATTCACCGCCCGCCATTCCCGTTCCCTTTCCTTTCTTTCAACACCACCATCCCACACATCACCAACTTCATCCCTCCCCTTAATACCGTAATTACATTCACCCCTTCACCCGCCCTGCCCCCAAGGTTCTCAATGCAGTAGTGACCAAAAACAAGTCAGCCCTGCATAACCTTGGCCGCTGGGTGATGGTCCAAAATTTACAAAAGTGCACGCCGCCACCACCACAACAACAACCACCACCGTTTAAATACTACTCTCCTTCCGCTGCACCATCCCTTGCCAAGCACTGCTGCTGGCATGTTCAATTGTTCCACATTCACTGACCAAATCTTTGCCTTCCTGCCATCATTAGGCCCGCGATCCGTACAACTATTCCCCGTCCTCGGCCGATTATTACAACACCAGGAAAAAGGAAAACTACCCGGTCGATAATACGTCGTCTTCATCGATTGCAGCTCCGTCCAACTTTACTGTTGCGACGCGTAGTCCTGTAGCCGCGCTTTCCCATCCGGCATCCATAGCTGCACCAGCTAGTGTCGGCAGTCTCACCGGATCCATCAGCCCCAGGCTTTCACTCAGACCACCAAGCATGGCCTCTCCCACCATACGAAGCGCCGTCTTAGCTAATCCCACAAACGGCATAACTTCCACCGCACTACCGGCTCTAGGCAGGAACGATTCGCCACCTTCCAAGATGTCTCCCGCTACATCAACCGTAAGCTCTTTCGCTCTTCGTCCCCATGTACCAATCGGCAATGTCCATCCTCCCTCCCTTTGTCCTCCCCCTTCTTTCACGTAACCCTGTCGCTGACAGCAATTTTTGCTTCTAGAACCCTAGCCGTGCCGCTGGTGTCATGTCCTTTTCCAATATTCTCTCGAGCTCCGAGCCCGTTCCTAGACCCCGTGCGACTTCACCCAACAACATGGATGATGACGACGACGTTCCCATGAAGGTCGAGCGCGCCGACTCATCCGAGAAGGTCGTCAAGGAGAAGAAGGAGAGGAAACCGCGCCAGCCCAAGCAACCACGCATCTCTGACATCAGGCACTCCGAGTCCACTCCCAAGGGGCGACGAGGGTCGACCAAGCAAGAGAGTCCGCTGCCCAACATTCGCATTCCGGCCAAGAGAACGGCCAACGGTGCTCCCAAGCAACAAAAGACATTCTCGGCGGAGAATGAGGAGAAGATCAGGAAAGCGATGGATCGAATCGAAACACGAGAGCTTCCCCACGAGGACGAATTCGAGGAGGAGTTGCGCTTGTGGAGGGAGCGACGCGAGTACAAGAGGCAACAGATGAACCAACGCGACCTCCGCCAGCGCCGACAGAGGAGAGCCGACTACACCGAAGTCGAAGCCCAGAAGCTCAAGCTGCATGCCGACTTTGGCAAGCGTCGATATGATGATCTTAATTACGATGATGCGTTGCAGGAGGTTCGGGAGCGCGAGCTCTTTGCCGAGAAGGAGCGCAAGAAGGACATGCAGCGCAAGAGGCGGCGCGAGAAGTCCATGGCCACTACCATGGAGGCAAAGGCAGCCGCCTTGGCTAGGGCCTCTGCAGCGCAGGATGAAGCCGAAAGACAGAAGTACATGCGCGAAGCAGAACGGGCGAATAAGAAAGTTCAACAGACCCGCCTCATTTTGCAGAAGGGCATCAAGGGCCCGTCGCGGAACACCGGTCCCATCGAGCCGAACCTGGAAGGCGGTACTATGGCTACGTTCCAGGCCGAGAACATGGAGCCTGGTAAGACGAAGGGTAAGGGTCGTGCCGGCGCGAGACCCAAGAAATCCAAGGAGCAGAAGCAGGCCGAGAAGGATGCCGCCGAAGCTGCCCAAGCCGCTCTTGATGCCGGTCTCGAGCTGCCGCCCAAGGAAGAAACCAACAAGATCCGCATCAAGCTCACCAAGACTAAGGCGCCCAAGGAGGCTGATGTGGACAAGGATAAGGAGAACAAGGAGCCTCAAGAGCCGAAGGAGCCTAAGGAGCCCAAAGAGAAGGTGGTGAAGGAAAAGGTTGTGGAGGAACCCAAGGACCCGTTGGAACTCAAGTTCCAGTCCAAGGGCTTCAACCAGATCTATGACCAGATTTGGCGCGATCTTGCTAGGAAGGACGTCAACAAGGTGTTCAGATTGGCGATCGATTCGTATTCTACCAAGTCCTCTAACCTCAAGAAGACTGCCATCCTCGCGTCCAAAGAGGCCAAGAGATGGCAACTCCGTACCAACAAGGGCACCAAGGATTTGCAAGCTCGTGCCAAGCGTGTCATGCGTGACATGATGGGCTTCTGGAAGCGCAACGAGCGTGAAGAGCGTGATCTCCGAAAGGCAGCTGAAAAGCAAGAGCTGGAGAACGCTCGCAAGGAGGAAGCAGACCGCGAAGCCGCTCGCCAGAAGAGGAAGCTCAACTTCCTTATCTCGCAGACCGAACTGTACTCCCATTTCATTGGCAAGAAGATCAAAACTAACGAGGTGGAGCGCAGCACGGACCACCCCGATGAGATCGCGGCTGAGAAGGACAAGATCCCAGAGAACGAGATGGACATCGAGGTGCCTACTGGCCCCATTGGTGCCAAGGTTACCAACTTTGAGAATCTCGACTTTGACGCCGAAGATGAATCGACGCTGCGGGCTGCTGCCATGGCGAATGCGCAGAATGCTATTGCCGAGGCCCAGAAGAAGGCTAGGGAGTTCAACAAGGAAGAGTCCAAGCTTGATGAGGATGGCGAGATGAACTTCCAGAACCCAACCATGATGGGCGACGTCGAGATCGAGCAGCCCAAGCTTCTCAACTGCCAGCTCAAGGAGTACCAGCTCAAGGGTCTCAACTGGCTCGTCAACCTGTACGAGCAAGGCATCAACGGTATCCTGGCCGACGAAATGGGTCTAGGAAAGACGGTGCAGTCCATTTCCGTCATGGCCTACCTTGCCGAGAAGTACGATATCTGGGGTCCCTTCCTGGTTGTTGCGCCTGCATCGACCCTGCACAACTGGCAGCAGGAAATCACAAAGTTCGTTCCCCAGTTCAAGGTGCTCCCTTACTGGGGTACTGCAGGCGACCGTAAGGTGCTGCGTAAGTTCTGGGATCGCAAGCACACGACCTACAAGAAGGACGCCCCCTTTCATGTCATGATTACCTCGTACCAACTCGTTGTCTCTGATGTTGCGTACTTCCAGAAGATGAAGTGGCAGTACATGATCCTGGATGAAGCCCAGGCTATCAAGAGTTCACAGAGTTCGCGTTGGAAGTGCCTGTTGGGCTTCCACTGCCGTAACCGTCTCCTGTTGACGGGTACCCCTATCCAGAACAACATGCAGGAACTCTGGGCCCTGCTGCATTTCATCATGCCGTCACTGTTCGACTCTCACGATGAGTTTAGTGAATGGTTCTCTAAGGACATTGAGTCTCATGCTCAGAGTAATACCAAGCTCAACGAGGACCAGCTGAAGCGTCTGCACATGATCCTCAAACCCTTTATGCTGCGTCGTGTCAAGAAGCATGTCCAAAAGGAACTCGGCGACAAGATCGAGATGGACGTTTTCTGCGATCTCACATACAGACAGCGTGCCATGTACGCCAATTTGCGCAATCAGATCAGCATCATGGACCTCATCGAGAAGGCGACACTGGGCGACGACGATTCTGCTAGTCTCATGAATCTCGTCATGCAGTTCCGTAAGGTGTGCAACCACCCTGACCTCTTCGAGCGGGCGGATACCGCTTCGCCGTACTCGTTCGGCTACTTTGCCGAGACAGCCTCGTTCATCCGTGAGGGTAGCCAGGTTACCGTCGGTTACTCTACGCGCAGCTTGATCCAGTACGAGCTGCCTAGACTGCTCTGGCGCGACGGAGGACGGCTGCACAAGGCTGGTGAAGACAACCAGGTCGCTGGATGGCGGAACCAGTGGCTCAATGAGAAGTTCAACATCTGGACTCCGGAGCATATCCGTGAGAGCCTAGCCGGGACTGACAACTTCTCATGGTTGCGCTTTGCCGACACAAGCTACGAGGAGGCATACCAGGCTAGTCACAAGGATCTCTTTGCTCGGGCTGTCGAGATGTCCACCAAGAAGAACCGGCTTGCGAAGATCAAGATCGCTTACGATGAGCCGGAGGACTTGAACTTCACTCCGGCGCATGCCCTCTTCCAGATCAGGGAACGTGAGGATCGGAGGCCTTTGGCTGAGATCACTGAGCAAGGCATTCTGGGCAGTTTGATGAATGTCTCCCGGAGTGCATTCTCCGAGACTGGCCTCGGTCGTCTCGAGCAGGCTGCAGCTCCCAAGGCCTCGGCTCCTCCTATCGAGGTGGTCTGCGACAGCCGTAGCGCAGTGGTTGAGCGGGAGAACATCATGTTTAACGCTCCCATGCGCAAGGTCCTCTTTGGACCTACCCTGGCCGAGGAGAAGGCGCTCGTCGTACAAAAGGTGCCGCCATCACGCTACCCACCGCCAGCGTTGCTCCCTGCGCCAGACAAGGAGAAGCAGAAGTTCACCAACATCACCGTCCCGTCGATGCGCCGCTTTGTCACCGACTCGGGCAAGCTCGCCAAGCTCGACGAGCTCCTGCGCGAGCTCAAGGAGAATGGCCACCGCGTCCTCCTCTACTTCCAAATGACGCGCATGATCGATCTCATGGAAGAGTATCTTACTTACCGCAACTACAAGTACTGCCGACTCGACGGTTCAACCAAGCTCGAAGACCGTCGCGACACCGTTGCCGACTTCCAGACCCGCCCCGAGATCTTCATCTTCCTGTTGTCTACTCGTGCCGGTGGTCTGGGCATCAACCTGACCTCTGCCGACACCGTCATCTTCTACGACTCGGATTGGAACCCGACCATCGATTCGCAAGCCATGGATCGTGCCCATCGTCTGGGTCAGACCAAGCAGGTTACTGTCTACCGTCTTATTACCAAGGGCACGATCGAGGAACGCATCCGCAAGCGTGCCATGCAAAAGGAAGAAGTCCAGCGCGTGGTTATCACGGGTGGCTCTTCGGCTGCTGGTGGCGGTGTGGACTTCTCTGGTCGTCGTGCGCCTGAGAACAGGAACCGCGATATCGCCATGTGGCTGGCGGATGATGAGCAGGCGGAGATGATTGAGAAGAGGGAGCGCGAGCTGTTGGAGAGTGGAGAGTTGGATAAGTTGCAGAAGAAGAGCAGGGGAGGTAACAAGAGGAAGAGGGGAGGTGCTGGGGGAGAAGGGAAGGAGGTTAGTTTGGATGAGATGTATCATGAGGGTGAGTCTTTCTTTGTCCATGACTGTGACCAAACGAATGAAATGATGCTAACTGATTACAGGTGAGGGCAACTTTGATGATGGAGGGAATAATATCAAGGGTAGCGGAACGGCTACGCCTAATGGTGCTGCCGGTGGTGAGGGAGGTGATGGAAAGGGAGCAGCGGGAGGAGCGGCGAAGAAGAGGAAGACGGGTGGAAGCAAAAAGGCCAAGACGACCAAGCAGAGATTGGCTATTGCTGATGGGGAGATTGATATCTGATCCCGATGTTCGTCTCCTGGAAGCCTCCTCAAGGGAAGATATGAAGAGCATGATATCGCAGCGCTGAATTCGTGAAGGAGGAGGAGGAAATTGCTTTCTTTGCATTGTTTTCCTTTTGTAGTACTAGATGGTGAACGGGTGGGTGGGTTTGAGCTGAGCATTTGCTACATTCGTCAACTTGCATGTTCATTTCATGGATTCAAAGACCATTATGACCTATCGGATAGATAGGGTCGGACGGACGGAAAACGGAAAGGCAGCCGTAGAAAGGAGAAAGAGAAAGAAGTGGAACGAAGACATCAAAGTGCTCCAAGACCTTTACATTCCGAATGTAATAGGGTTGGACGGACGGACGGACGGACAGCTTACCCACCTAGAAAAGATGTATGGATATAAGCATAAGCAGCACACAAGTTACAGGTAGACTTACCTCCAGGCACAATATATTATACTACACATGCTACATTATGGTCATATGCCTAAGAATGAGGAAGAAGTGCTGGTTGAGCGAGGAGGTGCCCTGGGGGTGGTTGAGGGAGATGATTAGTCGTTGAGACATGCCCGGCTGCCCGGCTGTCCGGCTCCAGAAGACGGAAGACGGAAGCCAGGACAACCCGGCGGAGACTGGAGAGTGGTGGAGGTGTCCATTACCAACATAGTGGAACGGAAAGAAGAAGAAGCTTTTGTTTTTTATTCCGATAGGGGAGGAGCCATTGATCACTTTTTTCTTTGATGTACTTGCTCTATTTCATTCAAGTTGCTCGGGACGCTTCTTCTTAAGTTTCATCGGTGATGCCTGCGTGGGTTCCATTGTGGGCTCAAGCTGTCGAACGTCGATAGCTAGGTAGCAATGGCGATGCGAAATACGGGTACAGAAAAGGGGTCCTAGAGGTACCTAGGTAGGTAGTTAGGCGTCCAGAGGCACGTTAACGCAGATAGACGACGATCAACCATCCATGTACGGCATGCACGCACGCTGTAATGCTGCTGTTTGTTATAATTGTAATCTGGTTTGGGTGGATGCACTAATATCCAGCTAGAGGTCTGTACATATAACATCGAGAATAGTGAGTGAGGATCACCTCCTGGCACTAGAGGTACCTATTAGCTGGCACCCGAGCGATATAGACTACCACTATGATCTGAACTCAATACTGCTGTTTACGTTTAACTTTAGTAATGTTTCATATTTACTTTCCGTCTTATAGTAATGCCTCAACTCAAGTTGTGCAGTACCGGGAGGTACCTAGTTGTCGTCGTGCAGAAGAGGAAACGGAGGTGTTGGAGGTGACTCCCGTCGATGCCCGGTCAAGTTGTTAAAGGTAGGTACCTACCTCTTACCGCTAGTAAGCCAACGACCCGCTGTTATGTAGCTGCATCTTTCCCCAAGGGCACTGACAATAAGAACTGGTAGAGCCTCCGTCGTCAACGGACCTGCAAGGCCCGTAGAGTATGGGACCGAGTTTCCAACTATGTTGTTATTGCTTTCCATCCTTGTCTTGCCTTCCATCGTTGATCATGCGCGTAAGCAGGCGTAATATCTAAATGTCCACGATACCCTATGGTCTTGTGAGCGCCTGTGGACGCTGGCTTGCTGGCTTGCTGGCTGAAGCAGTGGTAGCACAGGTGTTGCTAACACTTTCGTCAAGTCATCAAAGGGACAAAGGGTCCGGAAAAGATCATTGGCGCTGCCATATCTCTGTCTCTGTACAGTAAGAGAAGCTGGTAATTGGGTAAGGAGATGAAGCTCTTGAATTACTTCCCCTAGTCCGGTTAGGTTATGAATGCTCTTATAAGGTTCAACAAGGCAAAATGTTACGGGTTGATGGTCGATGTTGGAGGATCTTTGTTAGTGCTCTTTTCCAGGTTGACGTGCCCATGGTCAAGTTGACGGGCAAGGAAGGCATGACATGGGGAAAGTGGGGCTAGGCTAGGAATAGGTACTGTAGTGGGAGCTGAACGAGCGCTGTTTGTGCCTTGAAAATGCCCTGTAAGTTACTTGTGCCTTGAAACGTCCCTTCGCCTACGGGGGGTGACATCAAAAAGGCACCATGGACATACCTCGACGATATTCTAAATGTCTCAAACATCTACATTACCTTCAGGTACGTTTGCTGTCTTCTTGATCCTCCTGCAATCATTGCTAGCGGGGTTCATACTCCTCTCACCCAGAAGTCGAAGTGTGTCAGGAGAATGGCACTCTCCGGCTGTACTATGCTTCAATGTCCATGGCCGCTTCCTGCTTGTGCATAAGGCTCCCCAAACACTTCTGGTTCCTACGCCGCTTCCCCTCCCGTCCTTCCCTCCATTGATAATTAACAAGCAGAGCCTCATCAACGACATACCACGCCTGTGTACACCATGTTTCAAGTCAGAACAATTCTTCCATGGCCTTAACCTTGCGTTCGTTTGTGATGTCTTGTTCATTCGGTTTTTGCTTACGGACAGGGAAGAAAACCAAGACAATGTGTCCATGCCCGTCCTCGAACCTTGATAACGCCCATATACGCCCGGATACCCAAATTGCCAATGTCCGCCCTGGATAGTGCCTGCTGACACAACACCATGACGACGAACCCAAACCCAAGGGGACAACAAAAGCAGCTACAATAGGTACTTTGGTTTTCAAAGGCTCGATGTCTCTCATGAACACCGATGTCTGCAGGTACTATGGGAGTCTTCATTCCTGGTGGTCCCGCTTGACGTACCTTTAGATACCGGACCGGGCCGGGCCGGGCCGGTCTGGAATGTCCTTTTCGGTGTTAACGGGCCGTTCTGCCAGAACAAGGTTGCGGATATTGCGAATACTGCCAGGGCCCGTCGTCCTCCGATATCCTGCTCGACCCATTATAGAGGTAGAGGTATGTATGTCGCGTTAACACTTCCACCGCCCGGGGCACAATCACTACCTCTACCAATCAAACCCCAAAGTAAAGTTCCTGACAAACTAAGAGTCTAGATCTGTCATTTTACAGGTTTACTTGATGTGACATCCCAGAGACTCCAATGATGATAGAAAAAGGGCAGCACATGTATGGTCAGGTACCGATATTGGTGTGTGTTTTTCGTTAGTGCTTTTTACCTAGTTATCTCACTTGCAAGTCGCCAACACTTCCACCGCAGGTCGAAAGATGTTCCAACACCCTCACTAACGCTCCATATCAAGATTTGTACATTGGAAGAAGCGTATCTAGGTGTACCTCCAAACCCTGTCACTTCCTTTTACGTAATATCTTTGTTGATTCCTGAAAGTCAGCTACATACCTCTATTCCTTCTTGGCAAAACGGACAACATGCTGGGTCGATTGCAGACATTGGACTGTTGGTATTAGTCCAACAAAAAATTTCCCCGCCTACAACCCCTTTGGTGATTTATGCACTAGTCACTCCCTGTTGTTGGCCAAAATCTCAAAATACCTAGCTTGGTTCGTTTAGTCTTTGACGTGAATAGGCTTTTAGACCATAAGGACCTTTGCTGGTACTCTTTTCATCCGGTTTAATAACCTGTCTTGTCTTTTCATATGGTCTTGTTGTCCAAGGTTACCCGAGACGGTCGATGCACATCAGAGTTGGGCAACTCGCGATGCCTCGAAAGAAGGGATGACTGCCATGCACATGATCAAAGAAGGAACTGAAGGAATTAGGGGTTCAAAAGCCGGCCAGAGCGTGATACAGAGCCCGTCAATGACACCAGGCTTCAAGAGGCATGGGCGTTTTCGACATCTGCCCTTTGGTTCTTCGTACGAGGTTCCACTTGGCAGCTACGTGAATGGCAACCTGGCAGCAACATCGGTACCTACCACTAAACTTCTTCATACAATCCGCCCTTCCATGCTCGTCTTATATCCACCTGTTATTTAGAGGTCCGAAGGAAGCCTAAGACTTTGTAAGTGAACCCTTTCTTTGTTTTTGAACAAAGCAACTAGATAGATATTCTTGATATTGCCCATTTTTCCCTAACATCCACTTCACTCGCTCTCGGGTTTGTGCAATTCAGGTTGTTCGTACCTACAGTATGCGGTGGAATCAGTGTCACTTGTACCTAGCAACCGGGTTTTCCTTGTCTGCGTTGCCTTGCCTTTCTCCCGTTCTCCTTTCTGTTTAATCCAGCACCCCTCTATCTTTCCTTCAACCCTCCATGGCCTTTTATAGAACCTTCCACTGATCACATAGAGGTAAGTATCATCTCACCTCTCCTTCAATACCTACACGAGAACTAACGAGACGTGGGGACACTCCCAAATACCCCAAAAGAGCATCTGTCCGGCTCATCAACAGCGACGATGACAAGAACGAACCAGGTACCTGCCTAGGGACAACAGTCGAACCTCCATCTCTTGTTGTCAAGGCACCTAGCGTCTCTGTTGTGACTGGCAGAAGAGCGAACGAACGAACGAACGGGCTGGATGATTCCTTATAGCATCCGGGCGGCAGTCAGCTATACCTCTATCAAGATGGAATATCATGATAAAGGCACAAGAACCGCAATGGCTGGGAGAAGGATGAAGGAAAGGTAAGTCTTACTCCATGGGTGTCACTGGCAATGTGCACAAGGGGTGATTCTCGAGGGGAAAAGAAGCACATTTTCTAAATTTAGTTGTTCAACCCAGCGCCCTCTTCATCTTTCCCTCGTTCTCTTTTCTTGCCTTCGTCAGTAGCAGGTTGACCCCAGGCTTATTAACAGGCGAAAGCCGAACCGCCGGGATGGTTGCTGTTCTGTCGGGCAGTAGGTAGGTCAAGGTGATTTAGAGCATGCCACATAGCCACCCCTTGCTTGTTCACTGATGGACAGGAATGCTAAGAGACCGAGATGCAGTCAACTTCATCATGTCCCGATATCTCGAAAAGATCTCCCCGAAGGTATGTTTCGCGAATTACCTGGCACATCATAGAGGCAGCTGACGTTTGCAATGTTCTTTAACGTTTGTATTACTGACATGGTTCCATCATATCGGGTTCAAGTTGTACGGCCCACATTACGCCCGGGGCTTCTTCATTGAAACAGTCATCTTGCATTTGTCCATGATGCCCCCATGTTCCTCCTCCACTTCCTCCATCGTCGACTTGGATTGAGCTGCTTGGCCGGCTCTGAGTACCGGGAAAGTATTTCCTGTTCGAGTACCGGGATAGTTAGCGCATGTCCAGCAGCTGCTTCTTGCCTCTCAATCACCTTCAACCCACCTGAAGCTCTACCACTTGTCCAAAGGTCCTTTGTATTTAAGCAACAGAGTCGCCGCTGGCAGGGAAAGCAAAGTGTTAGCTGGGGTACTTGAGCAACACGAGGCAGAAGGGATACTAGCGATGTGCATACCTCAACAACGACAAGGAGACGGTCACCCTTGCCCATGATGACATTTATGGCCTCCTTCCTGCCTTTTCCAACGCCGAGACTCAAATACGTGGCCGGCGGACCTTCGTTCGCAAAGGTCGCAGTGTCTCGCCTCGGCTGCTTGATGTTGGACAAACTGTTGTGATGTTTGTCGTTGGGGTATTTCAATGGTGGCGAGGAAGGACTCGAAGCTGGAGGGCCAGATGAGGCGGCCGAGAATGCGGCGCTTTTCATCGATAGAGATAGAGTAAGGTACTTGAACGGCTGGGGGGTCTCGAGACGCCCCACGGAGCCAGTACCTGATGTTGAAGTGAAACGAGTGCTCACGAGGGTAAACGAGAATGGTGGTGAACTTGTTGATTGAAATGGAGAGAAGAAAACAAGTAGGACAAGAGGTGGTGGGAGATGCTCGATAAATGTAGAGGTACATGTGTGCTGGGACTGACCTCATGCCAAGATGACCATCTTGCTCAACAACAGAACTACCGCAAAGACGTTGAGCCGGCGAGCAATACCCCGCCGTCTAGACATCAAGATGAGTTGCGTCACCCCTCCTCGAAGGACACTTCCTTCCTCGTATTAGACCAGAAGCCACAGCATATCTGAAATTACAGGTACGCGGGGTCAGACGAGGCAACGGAAGATGACATGACGTACCCCTGTCTGAGCAAGTTACCCGTCCACATGAGCCAGTCACTCGGCCTTGGATGTGAGGAAGGAACCGCGAGTTGCAGAGGGAAGCACACTTCCTTCCTCACAACAGACGAAGAGCCGCAGCATATCAGAGATTAGAGGTATACGGGACTAGATCAGCATCACCAGACGTAAAATGAAAATGGATCCTTGTCCGGAGCAAGTCACCCGTCCACCTGGAGCCGGTCACTCAGCGTTAGGGGGTGAGCCAAGAGTCAAGGAGGGAAGGAGCAGAGCCTCCAGCCACGGCTATGTGCGCTCACAGTTGGTCACAAGTCGCTCAACCCAGAGGAAAGCAATGGAAGGTAAGGTACTTGTCCAAGGTATCTTTTCTCGGGACCGAGAAAGCCCACAATCTCCCCTCTTTCGACTACCTAGTTTATTTCCCCTTCCTCTTCTGCTCTTCCTACCTCTCCCTCTCGCACTTCTCAATCACATTCCTCTTCCATCAGCAACTTCTCTCACCACCTCAATCACCTGAAACAGCAGACATTCTCTCTTTGCGCCTCCAACAACCACCACGAAGCAGACGAGTTCTCCACTTGGGAACGCGTCAAGAGTATGTCTTTTCTCCTTGCCTTCTCTCATCGCCAGGCCATGCCGCTTGTCCTCATATTCTCTGAGTCGGTACTGACAACTTCTCCTCCTTTCAGCCCTGCTTGTAGCAACAAAAGGCGCAGAGTGCTTCCGTCAGCTTCCCGGCTCCCAAGCCGTCTAAGGTTAGTTTCTGTCTCTTATCGTCGTTGACAGCGCCGTCCTCTACTACACCTACGCGCACCGCTTGGTTCAGGCGTTAGCCCAGATGTAGCATTGATCTGACTGAAGCCAATAGTTCAAGTTCGTTGTTTCTGCTCTGCCGCAGAGGGCACTAGGATTTTCAGAATTTTCTTGTCAGTCATCTTTCTCCTGTTCACTGATTTTCTTTTGGCTCGTCCCATGCCCTATCTAACACATCAGCAGACCCAGCACGCTGGTCGTGCTCCTAGCACCGTCTCTTTCCACAATGCTCATCCATTGCATCTCGCGCCGCCCATCACACATCTTTCCAGCTCTTCTCTTGCTCCTGCTAATCTACTGGCTTTGCCTCTGGGTGAAGATGGACCAGAGCCTGCGCCTGGCTGGCACGCCCGCGCGTGTCATCATCGGCGGTGGTGTCGCTGGCGATGCGGCGGGTAACGGAACCAATTGCATCGCCGCCGCCGTCGCCACCACTCAACCTGACACCACCGCCGATGTCCCTGCCGAGATCAGTGGCGTCGGTGCTGTTGCTGTTGCTGCTGCTGTTGCTGTTGCTGCTGCTGTTGCTGCTGAGAAGCCTGACAAGGCCGAGAAGACTGAGGAGAAGACCGAGGAGGCCGGCGACAAGAAGAAGCAGAAGAAGGAAAAGAAGGAGGAGGCTGCTGAGAAGAAGGTCGTCGCTAAAGATGTCGAAGCGTGGTGGAAGCAGGTGTGATGGAAAAGGGGAGGGAGTGTCCGGCAGCAAGGAGGTTGTGAGCGAGCCTCGGGCTAGTACGAAGAAGCGCATGTATGTCCTGCCTCTAATTCCAGAGTTTTCCATCCTACAATACCACCACAATGCACTGGCATGTTCTGACCCTCTACTAGTACCATTCCATCACAGAGAAGCATAAGCCTTGGAGACGTTGAGAATGTCTAGAGGTACCTCTACTTCCAAGCAAAATGGTTCGCGTTCTGAGGAAAGCCCAGACCCAACAGACAACCTTGACTACAACTCAGCCTTCAGCTTGGCCCGCATCTTCTCCAGCTCGCGCGCCTTGACCGCCCGGGCCGGCGACAATCACAAAAACAACACCACCGTATCGCGATACCCAGACCAGAAGCCTCGCGCACCGAATCCTCGCTCTGCCGGGCCATTTGCTCCCGCCTTCAGCGGCGGCTGCAGCAGTATTTTGTTAAGGGTGAAGTTTGCCGATGGGTGTTGGTAGCTGGAGGGGTGCATCTTTGGGTGCATGTGACTCCGTTCGCATCGACCGTTACCTCTAGACGGGAGGTAGAGGTAGAGGTACCTAGATAAATAATCAAGGTACTTAGCTCTTCTTTAGCAATAAAATGTTTAATGTCATGTTGCTTCATCGTGCATTTCATGTTTGCTGCCAATGATCATGCCGCAACACAATCCTGGATCCATGGGACACACTCGGCATGGGTCAGAGTCCATTGTATCACACCCAGGGCGCAAGCTCGTGGAAAGGTCAATAGATAATGAACGGTCAACTATCGCAGCCTCCGTGATTTTCATGATGGTCTTTGTCGGAGATACTGCTAAGTGTCCTCCCGCCTTCGTGTGGAGTGACGGGAGTCACGGCAATAAGGTTCCACAACCATACTACTACCAAGGAGCCAACGAGTTGACGATAAATCAGAAATAGACGGCAGGAGACATATTGAACAGTTGGTCGGTCAAACCTCTTGCATTGGAGAGGTATCGTCAAGTGTCGTTTCGGCGAACTCGGGGAGGTCCCAGTGCCATGTCGGGCTGGGTGGGCATAATTGCAAAGGCCAAATACCAGAAGTAATTGGAACCAATATCCGACTAAGGCAAACACTCTTCTTTGGCCACAAGAAATGGATAAATGTTGTAGTGCGAGAAGAACTGGCTTCGAAACATGGCCGTCATAGGAGGAGATGTTCGACGCCTTTCGTTCGGGTGGACGGAAAATTAGGTAGCAGCACTACGAGGGCATGCAAAGAAGTACAAGGTTTCGTTTGCCACTGTCTTCATGACTGCTTAACAGCTACAAATCAAAGCAAACAACTGAACGAAGACGAGAGGCACGGAATTGGTTTGAACTTGATTGACTATCTGCTACCTGAAGAAGGCGAAGAAGAAGAAGTAGACGAAGAGGGGAATGAAGAGGAGGAGGAAGAAGACGAAGACGAAGAAGAAGACAAGGACGAAGAAGACGAAGAGGCGAATGAAGAAGGTCAGACTCCCGTTGGAGGATACATCCAGCTCCAACGTTCCCTTCCTTCCTATCATGAAACCAATGATGGCCTTCCCGCCCTCACGAAGAAGAAGAACAAGAAGACGGCGATGAGCCAGGAGAAGTGATCCTCCGCTCTACCAATGTACAGGAATCCACCAACAAATCCAATGCGAAGACAACAGTTACAAAACTCAACCAAAAAAAAGAACAGATGTGGAAGGCCCAAATGCCAGTAAAATGCCAGGAGATAAGAGATATGTTGTGACGGCGTTGATGATTCCCGTAAGCAGGTATGTTTCCGCTGCCCTGTTGTTCCTCCCCGCCCAACGACCGATCAAGGTGGTTGTTTGCCATGCTGACCCGTGGGCCACAGGTAGAAGTGCGTGCGAAGACGGTGGCTAGGCTCGAAATTGTCGTAGCTGGCGCCGGACGAGGTGCGGGACTGTAACGGTAGAGGTAATAATTGTAGAGATAGGGTTCTCCCATGGACGAGGGGCTTTCGATCTGCATTGCGGTGGTGGTGGTCAGCATTTGGTTGTCTAGAGGTAGTCACGAAAAAGAGAGGAGAGGAAATGATAGAGAATCGAAATTGTAGCGGGGAGAAACTGACCGTGCGATCATCGCCAAGCAGGTGTATGCCGGCTTCCAGCTATGACAAGCTGTGCCATGATAACCAGCAAAGTTGCTGCCTCGATTGACGGATTGTAGATATAAGCCATCATGACGAAGGACTGCGTGATGTGGCACAGCCAATGTTAGAAGATGTCGCGGGGTTTTGACCATCGGAGGAGAAACCAGTCGGAGGGGGGGCATACCTCCTCCTATGTCAGGTGGTGTGAGACATGGGCCGAAAAGGAAGCGGAAAGCAAGGAAAGTGAACCATTTTGCACTCGGAAAAGTTGATGTGTTTGATGATTGTTGAATCGTTTGTGTGTTGGCATTTGTGATCGTCTGCGGGAGGGCTGCTCTGGCTTCAATGTGTAAAAATGTGGAAGATGAGATGATTGAAGAGAATGGAGAACAAAAAGACGAGAAAAGCATGGGGGCATGGGCTGTCTTATAGAAATCCCGGGGCCACTGAGTGCATGCCACTCGTGGGTGCTCTTAACTGCCGCGCTGTACGCACATGCAACAGTGCCGCTCGCCTTGCCTGAGGTGTCCAATGCTGCACACCTGCAAAACTTGCAGCAGCATCTCTGGTCCTGATTTACCGTCCGAGCCTGGCAATTCCATGTCCATCGACATGACGAGATCTCGTTCAAAAAAGGGTTAAGGGAGGTTTGAAGGGTCTCTGCGCAGCCACGGACTGCTTTTAACTGGAAAACATTATCTTGCTCCTGTGTTCTAAAACGCAGGACGCTTTCCGAACTGAAGTTGGCAAAGAAATCGAAGGCAGAGAGTGCATGATCTCAGGCTTTGGTCAGCCTCAGCTCACACTTCCAAACTGGAATTTGTGTTTCTTCCACTTGGTTTGGAAGGCTTTAACGTCCTTTCCAGATTCCACTTTAATCGAGAAACCGGGAGGCAAAGCGACGGGATGGAAGCCTGAGGCAGTCCGGACTGAAGAAATATGCTCCTCCGGATGGAAGGTTCGAAAGGTCTCGTTGCCGGGAGAAGGTTACCTACCTACCCTATTACCCCTCTCATCACGTACATGCTAGCAAAGGCGAACACTTTCTCTTAAGCAGGGGCGCTTTTGTGAGGAAAATGCCCTGCTGTGTCTCTCAAATTCTCTTCGGTACCTCTAAAGATGGAAACAGAAGAGGTCACGGGAAGCTAGAGCAGTGGCGCGGAGTTTGTTCTCACTTTCAACGGGGTTTCTAATCGTGATTTGAGCTCAAGAGACAGGAGATAGAAATGGCAGCCTTTAGAGGTATGTTGTAGAGTTCGTCTACCTACCTATTCCTGAACAATAGAGGTACCTACGATCACCACCAGCATCAGACGAACTACCAGGTAGGCCTCAACCCATTCGAATCCCATATCAACGTGGTACCTACCGCCTCGATATTCAGGAGTAACCCTCCGCACACCCACCCCATTCCCTACATACACCCAAAATCCCAAAATTGTAGGACTATACAGCTGATGACACCTGGCATTGTAAATCCCGTTTTCGGGTCATTTCTTTCACGCTTTTTCACACAGTCAATTACACCTATTACTACTAGCCATTTGCACGTCGCATACCAACAACGTCGCATACCAACAACATCGTATACTAATATCCATTATTATCCCCACCGTATCTAATCTCGCTCAAGTCATTTGCTTTGCGTTGTCTGTAGATGGTATTGATTGTATGTAAAGAGCCGGAAATCTGACCAAGGTCCCTAACCTGCAATATGAGTAAGATTATACCCAAAACACCGTTATTTACATGCCAGCTGCCTTAGGGATTTTTGGGTGTATGTAGGGAATGGGGTGGGTGTGCGGAGGGTTACTCATATTCAGTCATGACATCTTTACACCCACAAGCACCCCCATGGCTTGTGACTTGTAATGACGGACCAAGCTGTAGAGGTTCAGTTCTTTCCTGGACTGGGTGGTTGGGGAGAAGTTGCAAATGCCCAATATCACATCATGCGGGAGCCGGCATGGCCTAGCTGAACCGTTGAGCATCGTTTCATTTGCCAAGGAAAGTGCTCTTGCCATGGCAGTGAAATTCTGCAACCTGTTGCGGGGAAGTGACTCTGTCTTGTATGATCGTTGTACTTGATACCTCTACTTGTGTGGCCTGGTACCTTTGGAATACTTCTAGGTTGCTTCCTCTTGCCTCCACGGTGTGCTGGTACCTTTGGAGGAGAAGACGAGAGGTATACAGGGGCATTTATTTGCGTGTCGTGCCCGGGGCATAATTGAACGAAACTTTCAGTTGCCCAGCCATTACTCTCCCGCCAATTCTACCAGGGCACTTTTTCATTCCATTCCAACACACAGTTCTTTTCGAGGTGCTGACGTTTTACCTTACCTTACTCGAGCTGTCTTTCGTTGCGCCATCATTGTTATTTGTCTTTGACACTACCATTTTCGATAACACTTCCAAAGAGGAAGCAAGTGGAAGGGAAGTGTACCTCTATCAACCAGGAGTAGCCTTCTCATCTTGGTCCGTGCTGCCGCCAAGGGCAACCTTCGAAACCCGACTTTGCCCAACAAAGCCAGCCCACTACTAAACTGGCGGTCGAGCTACAGCTAGCTCCCGTGGTTTCTTGTTTGGGCTCCTCTACGCTATCACTGCGACACCCTGCGACGTTCTCAAGATCCGACTCCAGGCCGGGGCCCGCAAGGGTGCCATCCACATCAACACCGGCCTCGGCCTGGGGCGTCAGAGAAAGAAGAGAGAGAGGCTTCCGTATGTCATTTGTCTCGTTTTCCTGAACTCCCATTTGGAACATACTTGCCTGTTTGTTGGGCATTGTTACCGCTACTATCACCGTCAGCTCAGACGTGCGGCTAACACTTATTCCGTTGACAGCTGCTCCCGAAACACACCCGAAGGCCACTCAAGTGGCAATCAGACAGAACTTCTTCAAGATTGACAAGAAGACGAGAAGTACCTTACCTGCCCGGTATGTAAGTCATATCTCAAGAGATTTTGACTTGACTTTCGGTCTGCGACACGTTGGCTGACCCGCGCCGGCCTTCTCGAATGTAGTTCAATGTTGCTGGCCGAGCGAACAATAGAAATGTGACCCTTTCCGACTGGACTTATTTCGAAAACCTTCTCGAGAAGCAGTTCTCTGTGGATTCCGACTTCCATGGCCACCGTCCTGCTGTCAAGATGTACTGACGCCTTTCGTGGTGTCTGATGAGCCTCCACTCCGCCACCTTAACCCCGGTGCCGAGGATGAAATCGCCTTTCGCCTGTTAGAAATTGAGCGCCTCGGCACAGTCAAGTATGATGACTTCCGTCGTCTTTACGAGCTCAACCAGAGCCCGGATAGCTGAGGCAGCCTGGCTGAGGTCATCCTTCGTTAGGCCAGTTAAAAGAGACGAGTTAGAAAGATCACTCGCGCAGAAGACCTTAGCCAGGCTGCCAAGATCAGGGGCACACAGGCGGAGGAGGAGGAGGAGGAGGAGGAGAACAAGAAGAGGAAGGACGAGTTGAGCAAAACGATTGTTTGTACGTAGGTATTTGGTTGATCCACACATGGATCAGTCTTCTATAGAAGGACTTTCTTCTTCCAATGGACATGTTCATCGGCACTCATTCTTCCATGTCCCGTGTCTACCTCTAGAGGTGTATTTATTCTCCACCTAGGGGCAATTTTCAACGACATGGAAAGACTGTTTGGTGTACATATCTCTGTTCTAGGTCAGAACCTGATTGGACGCCTTTCATCCCTTTGCATAGGTTGGTTGCTATGCGATGTTCGTTCAAGCTTGAAAACAGAGGGACCGAACCTTGAAAGAACGATATCACATCAAGGCCCCTGAACCTGCGAATAATGGGCCTCACGTTGAATCGGTTCACACAAGTTAGAACGTTGCTCTTGGGGAAGGTTGAGGCATTGTACGACGAGTGAATGTAGATAAAGGGAAGGCAAGTGAATGGTGTTGCATTACGACCATAAAATGGAAACAATAAAGATTGGAGGTGTACAGGAGATAATAAGAGACAACATAACGGGACGAAGAACCTTGTTGCAAGTCTTCAGAAGTAGGTGAAAGCTCTTCGCAAGAGATAGAGAGTAACTGACCATACAAGATAGATTGAAACAACCGGGACTCCTACGACGTTTTTGACACAGAAAGAAAGAGGAGCAGACATGATACTGGAAAGAAAAGACAGCGGGGAAATCGACGAGCCGGAAAAAATCAGAGTCCCCATACAACTACGTCTGAAAGCTTTGCGGTCAAACGAAACTTTTATGGTACATTCAAGGCGCCCCTCTTCGGCACGGGAATTATCTACTTCCAAAAAAGTTTCTCGATGTCGATGCGATCCATTTTCTGGATCCTATGTCCGTTGTATGTCGAAGCGTGTGCCACCCACCACAAGTGATACTACTAGGTACTAGGTACCTCTAATCTAGAAAAAAAAACTGCTCGCGAGCCGAAAGCCCCACGGTGGTACGGTGCCGCTCCGGTTCAATGCGGAATTTTTCAAG